ATATGTCCAAAGTATGAGAGTCGAAGCTTAGCCATCCTGGCCTCCAAGGAGCACTCTGGCTACACTTCTTCCAAAACAGATCTATTGGTTCTTTTGGCAGTCCATGGCACTTTTAGTATTCTCCTCCAATACCACAACTCAAAGGCATCAATTCTTCTACGATCTTCCTTATTCACTGTCCAGCTTTCACATCCATATGAGGTTATTGAAAATACCATGGCTTGGGTAAGGCACACCTTAGTCCTCAAGCTGACATCTCTGCTCTTCAACACTTTAAAAAGTTCCTGTGCAGCAGATTTGCTCAATGCAATATGTTGTCTGATCTCTTGACTACTGCTTCCACAAGTGTTGATAGTTGATCCAAGAAGAATGAAGTCCTTGACAACTTTAATCTTTTCTCCATTGATAACAATGTTGTTTATTGGTCCAGTGGTGAGGATTTTTGTTTTCCTGACATTGAGATGCAACTCATACCGAAGGCTGTGCTCTTTGATCTTCATCAGTAAATGTTTCAAGTCCTCTTCACTTTCAGCAAGCAAGGTTGTATCATCTATATATTGCAGGTTGTTAATGAGTCTTCCTCCAATCCTGATGCCACGTTTTTCTTCATAGAACCCAGCTTCTCATATTATTTGCTCAGCATACAGGTTGACTAAGTATGGTGAAAGAATACAACCTTGTCGCACACCTTTCCCAATTTTAAAACATTCAGTGTTCCCATGTTCTGTTCGAACAACTGCTTCTTGGTCCAGGTACAGATTCCTCAGAAGTACAATTAAGTGTTCTGGAATACTCATACTTCTCAATGTTGTCCATAGCTTGTCATGATCCACACAATCGAAAACCTTTGCGTAGTCAATAAAGCACAGGTAAGCATCTTTCTGATATTCTCTGCTTTCAGCCAAGATCCATCAGACATCAGCAATGATATCTCTCGTTCTACGGTCTCTTCTGAATCCAGCTTGAACCTCTGGAAGTTCTCTGTCAATGTATGATTGTAGCCGTTTCTGTATTACCTTTAGCAAAACTTTACTCGCTTGAGATATCAAAGAGATTGTCCAATGATTTCCGCATTCCGTTGGGTCACCTCTCTTTGGAATGAGCACAAATATGGATCTTTTCCAATCAGTCGGCCAGCCTTTTGGCTAAGATCAAGTGTGAAACTGACTTATAGCAAGGTTGTTTTTTAAAAAAAAAAATCTATTCCCATAACATCTGCCTTTTAATGAACACATAAAGACCAATTACATTTAATTACTGGCAGTCTCCAACTTACGACATATTTGAATTATGACAAACCACACTTATGATTGCATCTTGTTTTGTGCATGTTATCATTAGTAATTCTTTACCAATATCATAACTCAAGGTCAATTTTTCTATGGCCTTCCTTATGCTAGGTTTCACAGGCATATGAGGTGATTTAAAATACCATGTCTTGTGTCAGGTGTATATTAAATTTATCACGGATTGCCAGAAAAATGAAAAATCTGTGTTGGAAGAAGTAGAGCCAGAATGTTCCTTAGAAGTCAGGAAGGTAAGACTTCATTTTATGTACTTTGGACATATTATCAAGAGGAACTACTTCCTAGAGAAGGACATCATGCGTGGTAAAGCAAACGGTCAGTGAGTAAGAGGAAGACCCTCTTTTTTGCTGAAACTTTCAACATTTGATTCAAATACTTATTCATGCATTTTTAATAATAGTTGCTTTTCAAGTCTGTCACATGGTTTGAACATCTACAAGGGGGTTTCAAAAATTCATGGAAAAATGGGATTAAAAGATAATGGGTTTTCCCCCACAAACTTTTTGAAGCCTTCGTAGATGTCATCTTGTCAATGGCATGCGCTGACTGTCTCTTCCCATGCAAGTTGGCATTTCCATGATTTTTAATATGTTGAGTAATTTTAGAATATATTCTGAACATCTTGAATAGCATTATGAGACTCTGGGTATAGTTTAAGACCTACAGTGAATGTTGATATTTTTGCTTTACCAGGCAAATGACCTTGTGAGATTCAGCATAGGCTGCCTTCTATGGGTGCTCCATGCAGTACTGATCTGATCTAAAATGTGTGCTACTGAGGTCAATCTGGAACCTGGTAGAGGTTTACAGAATACCTTATTTCTTAAAAAATATTTGGTAGCGTAGTGGTTACGAATCGGGCTGCGAACCTTAAGGTCAGCAGTTCGAAACTACCAGCCGCTCCACGGGAGAAAGATGAGGCTTTCTACTCCCGTAAAGGTTTATACCCTCGGAAACCCTGTACAGGGTCGCTATGGGTCGGAACCAACTCGATGGCACTTAACAACAACAACAATTAAGATCAGATCCATACATGCATAGGTTGGAGGTTAGCCCAGGAGTTCACAAACAACTTTACGGAGTTGCTTCCCAAGCTTTTCATGAACTCCAAGATTTAAGTTCCCTGAGACTACTCTTTTTGAATCTCTGAGCAGAAATCACCCACTTTGATAATTGTTCCAAGCATGCCCAAGTGGCAGGAGGATGAAGCAAGGAAAAAAAAAAAAATGAGTTTTTGGCTCTGCGCTATTAGTCAAAGCTCCATTCAACACAAAGAAGATTCTTCCCATCATGGTTTTATTACCTACTGGACAAAGAGAATGAGGAAAAGAAAAACATGGGGGAAGCATGTCCCCCAGTTTTAGGAGTTCCCTTTCCTGCTTCACAAGCCTGAATTCCGGAGTTTCCCCTGGATTGCTCTGTCTGCACCGAAGTGCTCACTTCTGCCTGGGAGATGCCAGAGGAGAAAATGCAAAGCTCACTGCTGGGTCAGTGGTACTTTGAATTCTGGTTTACTTCCCTGATCTTCTGGTTTCTATTATTTTTCAGAGTCCTCAAACAATTGTGTCATGCATCTGTCCAGGTTTCATAGTTACATTCAGTGGAAGAGAAAGAGAATCAGAACTCTTCTAGATATTGTACTTACAAAACTGTTTCGGTAATTTGAGGCCTAGAATAATAACACTTGCTGCAGAAGAATTTGTTTGATTCTGCCTAAGGGACACAGCATTCCAAATTCACCTTAATGAGGGGATGAACCGCTTTGAGGGTGAGCTCCTGTCTATTTCCAGCTGACCCTTCCTCCTATAGCACAGCCCTTCAGAAAGGGCTCCAACAGGATCAGGCTCCTGGCCCTGGACTACAGGCCCCCTTTCTGTAGGCTACCAAGGCTGTCAGAGCAATGCGCAACCTCTAAGTTACCCGTGCAGGAATTGTGAAATGCCACCAAGGGAAAAGTGGACCATAACTGATTTCATATCCCTAGGTTAGCAACCTCCCTGGATCTTGGTCTATCATCAGATTTCTCTAATGTGTTCAGGCAGATGATTTTAATAATTTGTCCAATTTTTTAGTTGTGCTTTGTTGTTAAGTGTTGTTGAGTCGACTCAGTGATCCTGTATAGGGTTATTGAGTCTGTATATCTTTGTAGGAACAGAAAGCTTTATCTTTCTCTCCAGAGCAGTTGGTATGCTTGAACTGTTGATCCTATGGTTTGCAGTCCAGGGTTTATCCTAAAGAACCACCACACTCCTTAGTTATCCTTGTTGTTAAGTATTGTTGAGTCAGTTCCAATTATATAGGTCTTCTAAGGAGCTAGTGGGTTTGAACCGCCAACTTTGTGGTTAGCAATCTAGTGCTTATCCTACAGTGCCACACCAGGACTTGTTGTTGTTAAGTGCTGTGGAGTTGGTTTTGATTCATAGAGACCCTGTACAGGGTTTCCAAGGCTAGAAATCTTCAAGTAGCAGAAAGCCTCATCTTTCTCCTGCAGAGAAGTTGATGAGCTTGAACCACTGATCTTATGGTTCACAGTCCAGTGCTATCCTACAGAACCACTGTGCTGGATAGTTAATCCAAATGACAAAAAAAAAAAAAAGTCCCTGGAAAAGGTGAACCTTTTCTTTTTATATTGATAAAGAAACTGGCTTAGAATGATTTTCTGAGGTCATTGAGCATGTAGATGAAGAGCTAACATTTAACTCCAGGTCATGCTCTCTTAACCACTACCCTATACCGACTCCACTGAAATTTAGCTTTAGTGTTACAAGATTGTTTTCAAAATTAATTGTGTGTGCGTGTTACAACCAAGAATTAATGCATGAATATATGCTTATTTTAAAAATGGAACTATTACAGATACCACCAACTTCTCGCTTAATTTCTCACTCCAAGTTTGGGCCTTTATCAGACATCACTGAATCTTAATTTGGTCTATAGCTTCAGTATGATTTTTGTTATGTTACAAGGCTGACCTATTCCCTATGGGGATGACTATCCAAAAGCATATAGGAGTCACCAGAAACATGATATGAGATTAAGTTTGATTTGCAGATGTTTTTCAAGAGCACATCATCAAGTTATATAACCGACAACTTTTTCCTCCCAAATTATAATATAATAAACTTCAAATTTGTTCAAATTACTCTTTTGAGGCCCTGCCCCCTGGTTGAAATCAAGATCTAACTGACAGCTACAAAGCGCAAGCTTGGTGACAATCTGCAAAGTAAGTGAAGATCAACAGAGTTTCTTTTCATTATGGACAATTTGAACTTGCAGAATCTTAGCATCCAAAGGAGCTTCCCCACCCGACCCCACCTCCAAATCAAAGCAGGCCACACATAGCACCACTGCCAGGTAATCTGACCGGGAGGAAACAGACAGGGAAGTTAGCAATAATGAGAACACCCTTTCCGCACATCTGTGCCACTCTCTGTGTTACCTAAACAGGGAAGAAGTAACAGGGCTGCCTCTGCTTAACTCCACCTCTCCAGTAGACAACTATAGCCCCTTAGGCTGTTTGGGCTTCAGAGTGATGATGCACATAGAACTCGACTCCCACTCCCCAGGTCATCCAGTACACACATGTGCTAATGCAACCTGCATTGTCAGCACAACGAAGAACAAGGGAGTGATTCAGGTTTCACACCAAAGGAAGTCAGCAGGAGGATTCAGGGGATGTCTGGCTTTTCCTACCTTGGCTGGCATCGGGCCGCAGGGAGCTGACAAGGGGTGGGGGTGAAGATTCGGGAGCCTCGGTCGCTGGATTTTCAGCTACTGGACAAATGATAAACCATCTCTTTCCAGTATGCAGCACTAAAGGGCAGAACAGAGATAAGATACAAAGTGCTAGGAGAGTGAGCTTTTCTTCAGGCCAGTAAGATCCTTTGCTGCCTTATGCAGACTTGCCATGGGAACTCTGTGGGAACTTTCTCTCCTGAGTTTGTCACCAGGAAGGTTGTGGGCAGGGGACCAAAATTCTGAGCTATAACCTTAGACCATTTCCCTCTACAAAACAGGGGCAGCTGCCCAAAGCTCTACTTTCTTACCAGTCGAGGCAGGTGCTGTGCACCACCACTTGGAGACTCTTTAAGGGCCTCTGACTGAGTTTCATTTCTTGGACATCTCCAGCACACCCCAGTAAAGGAGGGATGCTGGCTGGTAGAGCCTGTATGCCTCAATGCCCAGTCCTCACTCAAAGCACATGGAACTCCTTGGACAGGGCAGGTTTTTCAAGGTGGGAGCAGAATTTGTTCCCAGTCATGCTCCAGGCAGTACCCCTAATTGTCTGGAGCTCATCTAACACAACACCCCATCAATGCAAGTTGAATCCTCTTACAATATTCTGACTGGTGAAAAGCACAATGGTACCAATTAATCCACAGAGAGAAGGGAAATCATGAGAAGTCTTTTCCACCACCCTGCCATCTTATGCTATAGCTGACAAGGCCGACTTACCATTCTGCTGATAGACTGGGGCATTGGCTTGGGAGTGTCGACTTTCCTAAATGAGGTGAAGGATCAGGAATCAGGACAGATTGCACTGAACAAGAATTTTCTTCAGATGCACACCCTTCCAACCCTGACCTTGGCCCTCAATCTGCGACTTAACAATTTGAATAATCACTTGATGTCTGTTTGAAACTAGTTAGGGGGTGGTGGTGCAGATAACACCATTATTGTACTAACAAAGAGAGTGGCACCTGGGGGAGGTGGGAGACTGGCCTCACCCCCCATTATATGTCTCCTGTCCCCCTCCCATTCCCTTCAATCCCACCCCTACACCCTGATTCACCCCAGCTGCTGAACATGAGTGGCCTGTTCCTATGCTCTGCCAAGGTACCAGCACTCACTTCTCCTGTATCCAGGCTGTAGGCACTATGGTGTGGAGGGCTCGAGCTAGGATCCGAACCACGATCCCCATCTGTGTCCTCACTGAGCATGTCTTCCGCCTTATCCATGATGTCTTTCATCTGCTCAATGAAGGTCTCTTTCTCAGACTGCAGGATGAAATCATGCTCCACCTGCAGACAGGGAAAGCAGCATACACCTAAGTCTCATAAATAGGGCTTTAGAACGAGCAGTAGAAGGTTATGCATGAAGGGTTTCTTGGTTTTCTACTCTGCACTGGGCCCTGAGGAAGAAATGTCCTGAAGGGGACTGAATCCAGCTTCCAGAGACTCCTAGTGCTGAGTAAAGTGGATGGCCCTTGGCAGCAGAATCTCAGGGGGCAGATGGGGGGTTGGGGTGGCATGAGTACTAATCATCTAGAGTCATAGTGCCCAGTGCTGTTCTCTAGGTAGCCCTCCCTGACTGCCCCTGCGCAGTACACCAGTATAAAGAGGCTAGGAGCATGGGAAAGCTGGGAGAGGAAGCACTAGTGAAGAGGCACCAAACAGCAGGTATTTGGGCTAGAAAGGCAAATTTCAGTCACAGAAGCATTGGTTACATGAAGGAGGGGAACAGGGAGACTCAGGAAGATGGTGAAATGCTTCCAGAAATACAGGAGGGAGGGGTTCCAGCTAGCAGGGGGTGGAGCAGGAGGCAAGTCAAGAAGCAGGAAATGGTGCTAGAGACCTATCTAGAGAAAGAACCAAGGATGGGTGTAATAGGAAAGGGCCCAGGGACTGAGGTCCAGGGTAGGCTAAGGGAGACAGAATCAGGGTTCGAAGTTACAGCTGAGCTCAGGTTGAGTTACAGCTGAGTACCAAAATATGGTAGGGGATGGTCAAAGCCAGAGAAATGGCTGAGAATCATCTCTGGACCAGAAAGCTAAGGCAAGAATGGATCCATCTCTTTTTGCTGCTATCGAGCCCAATGTGGTGGCCAATTTCCTTGCACCTTCTACAGTCAGTCTACAAACCCAGCCTCAACCTTCCAATCTGAGTGTCTGAGCCGGTCAAGTTAATTTTCGGCTCCTGAATTGCCCACCCTGTGCTCTGACTGGGGACTATGGATTTGTAGCCAGACCCCACCCTACCTAGTCCCAGTGTCTGGTGGCTTAGCCTGCCTCAGGCTGGAACTCCATACATAAGCTCCAATATATCTCCATCCACATAATACTGAAATTAGCTTTTCCATGGGGTCCTCTCATTAGAAAGTCCACCTCCACAGCTAACGCAGCTCAGACCAGATCCAAATGAAGAGAAAGCCGTTTCCAAGTGGTAAGTCCACAGCAGGCTGCATGCCCTGCACTGGGCAGAAGCAGCCTGACACTAACATCAGGTACCACACATGTGTCATCCATGACACCCACATGGCCAGGTAGAGCTCTCTCCATCTCCCCCACTATCTCTTTCCATATATTCATGCCAGGCTGTCCTTGCATGTCCAGCACTCTCACCATGGCCACAGCCTCTACACAAGATTCAGAAATGTCTTCTTCATTCTAGTACTGAGAGCATGGACCATCACTGACAACTCCAGTCTTCTCGGATGGACACTTCTACTTTGGGATAGGCTGGCAACCCACATTGTGATGACTTGTCAGGCTTGCAGGACACATCAGGCCTCCTGTCTGCTCTGATCAGCACTCCACTTGGCTGTATCCTTGGTTGCTTCTTGTGTGCCATTTTGTCTCTCTAGTAGGCTTCATGAGGATCATTCAGCAGGGGGAGATGGCATGCCAGTCAGTGCTCGGATATGGTACACAGGACATAAACCTTTGTGTCTTAGTGTTGTATCCATTACAATGTTGATCTAAGAGGAGTGTTCCAGGGCCAGAGTCAGAGCATTTAGTTGCAGGGCGGTAGATGAAATGTTTTGTAAAAGAATACACTATTTTCCAGTTTTGTAAAAGTTTCACTAAACTGAACAAAACTAGAACCCCTTAGTTATCTGAAAAGTTTTCCTGTTAAGTATTTCTTTTTAAGTACAGAGAGACTATAATTAAACAACAAGTAAGAGTGGAAAAAGTAAACATAAAAGGCATAGGAATATTCTGAAATCAACCAAATGAAATCCAAATATTTATAGTCTCCCCTTTACCACAGGGAGTTTTCAGACTAGGAAGAAGAACCTGGCAATCTACTACCACAAATTAGTCAGTGAAAACTCTATGGAATTGTAAAAACTTAAGAAAAGATTTCCACACTAAAATACTAATTTTTAATGGTTACCAGGGGTGGGAGGGAAGGCACAGTAACTCACAGGTTAGGGGATAGATGCATGACAGCTCAGGTGGCAGGGAAGGCAAAAAAAGGATGGGGAGAGCAATGTACAAGAAGAGGGAAGAAGGTAGATGACAGGGATGACAGTGGAAAATGTAGGGAGGTATGTCTGGGCTAAATGGGATAAAGGTATATTGTAATGTATGCACACATAGCCTTGGAACAACAGGGCTCTGTGACATAGGGATCGAGACATACATAGTCTGAATGGGTAAAGGAGGGGAAATAATGTTAAGGTGCTTGAATACTTTTTAGATATTGGTTTCCCCTGCTTACTGTAATATAGACATTTAAATGGAATAGAAAGGAATATTGGGAAACATGACCACAGAAACTTTATAAGCCTGTCTTCTGCCTATACCTGACTGAATTATCTAAAAGGGAATGGAACGTGCCCAGGAAAACAGACTTTTTGTTGTCTTTATGGAGTATGGGGCCTTAGGTGGAATTCTGAGTCCCAATCAGAACTTTTGAAGGTGGGACATTCCCAATTGAAAAGACATGCAGACCAACCATTGATTGTAATCATTGTCATGATTTGTTGAATGTAAAACTGATGATCTGCCCAGTAAACCTTCACTCAATTCTCAATAAAAGCAACAAACAAACAAATAAAAAAGGAAAGCCTAAGGATCACAACAGGAGCTCTGGTAGCGTAGTGGTTACGAATCCGGCTGTGAACTGCAAGGTCAGCAGTTCGAAACTACCAGTGGTTCCGCGGGAGAAAGAGGAGGCGTTCTGCTCCCATAAAGATTTACAGCCTCGGAAACCCTGTGCAGGGTTGCTATGAGTCGGGACCGACTCCATGGCACTTAACAACAACAACAAGGATCACAACAGTACCATCCACAACAGATCACAGGGATGTTGAGAACTGGACAGGATTGTATACGGTTGTGGATGATCTTGCCATTAGTCCATAGCCAGCAGCTAACCACCATCAAGGGGCTCAATGACTCTCACAAAAATGAGCCTAAGGTCCTGGTAAGTCACTACTCCTCACAAGCCACTGAGGGATATGGGGCCCCATGCTCATGAAGCAGCTGCACTTTGGAGCAGAGCCAACAGGGGCAGAAGGTAGTTGTCTGTGTATCTCCACATTCCATTAGCCAAGCACCCATTATGTAGCTTGGTCCCTAGGAGAACACGTCTATCTCCTGGCAGTGAGATGTCTGTCTGCCAAGGCCTCTGCTCTGAGCCTCTTGTGTACTGTCACCTCACTGACTCAAGTTGTATATTTACAGGTATTTTGGATGACTGGGTTTATAAATACCCCTGCAAATGTCATGTAGCACATTAGAAAAAAAGAAAAAACAAGCCATAACTGGGGAGTAGAATCAATGCTGAGTGAAAAGCATTACAAACATCAAAACTAAAGAACCATGGCCACTACTGCAGAGTGATGGGTGTGTGTGTGCAAGTACACACACATACGCGCACAGACACGTAAGAATAAATGTTAAAATGAGAGAATAAACAGTGTAATGTTTGTGCAGCAGCCATAGTCAACTAGGCACAGAAGTGAGTGGAGGATGGGGAAGGAAACACAGGGGTTATGGAAGCAATTAAGTGCCACACAGTTCACTGGGTGAATGATATATTCACATGCACTCATTGTTTATTATCTTCATAATGTATGAATGGGACACAGTCCTTTGTATGCACAAAGCAACACAGAACAAATGGAAAAAATGAAGCAGGATGATAGAAAAGATGTTTATGGTTCCAGTGGCTTAGGAAGGCAGTGGATGAGAAGGTGACTTGGTGTCAGCCACTGCAGAAGCCCTGATCCTGAGGCTACACTCCAGGAGGGTTTGTCAGAGGGACAGCTGTAGGCTAAATTGTGTCTTCCAAAAAGGTAAACTGAAATCCTAACCTTGGTGCTTTGAATGTGACATTGCTATGAACTAGGGGCTTTACAGATGCTACCAGTTACGCTTACAGGAAGCCATACCAGATCAGTGAGAGTCCTGACTCTTCGGATGTTGTCTTATGAAAAAGGAAAACAGGAAGACACACAGAGGAAACACAGTCACACCAAGGAACAACAAAGATTGCCAGGAGCCACCAGAAGGCTACAGGAGAGAGGCTTGGAATAGTTCCCATTTAGAGTCCTCAGAAGGAACTGATTGATATAAGGTGATACCCTGATTGTGTACTCCCAGCATCTAAAACAGCAAGACAATCAGCTTCTGTTGTTCAAAGCAGCTCACTTTGTGCTTCTTGTTCTGGCAGCTTTGGGAGACTATGACAGGAATTTACAGAGAAGATGTTCAGCAATGGTATGAACCTGCATGGGGTTCCCCGAGGCACACAGCTCCCTGCTGACTGCCAAAGCTGTACTGTCCAATATGTCAGCAAATGGGCACATGTAGCAATTTTGTTGTTGTGGTTGTTGTTGAGTGCCGTTGAATCGGTTCTGACTTATAGCAACCCATTACAGGGTTTCCAAGGAGTGGCTGCTGAGTTTGAACCATAGACTTGCAGTTCAAACCAACTTGTGGACCAGTGCTTATCCTACAGCTGCTGCTGCTGCTGCGTACCGTGGATTTTCAGTTCCAACTCATAGTGACACTGTATAGGGTTTCCGTGGAGCAGCTGGTGGGTTTGAACTGCCAACCTTGTGGTTAATGGTCTAGTGCTGACTCTACAGAGTCATACCAGATTACAGTATCCTGCAATGCCACAGAATCAATTAGACTTCCTGGATTGGTAAGAGCACCTGCTCTTGGAAAGGTGCTGGAAACTCTTCCAGACTATATTATAAGCCCTTCTGGTTATAATAAATGGGTAACTGTAAAAGCATCGATATTCTCTGTGAACTCTGTGAGCTGTTCTAAGGAATTAATGAACCCACAGGGGCAATGAGAACCAGCAGGGGCTGGTATCTGCCTCTGTCTATTTGGCAGTTGAAAGGTCTAAATCTTTAACTTCTGAGAGTTCAAAGTGGCTGGGGTCAGAAAGAGAATGATGGTGCGGGACTGGAGATGAGGATAGAGAAGTGGAGGTGAGGACAGGACCCATTTCTGGTGGGAACTGGATTCATGCTGATCCTTACCATGCATGGAGCAATAAACGTGGAGTCTGTCCACTGTGCCCCTTGTGGAGCACCACATCTGGTCACACCAGCCACACTCCAAAAACTCAATAGTCAGATAGGGCTAATGGTTACAGTACTGGACAGTACAGAACATCTTACTGGGCAGGCTGTTTGAGAAACTTGGAGAATACTCTTCCTCAACGTCCCTCTGACATGAATAACTATCTGGGAAGAACACCACTAGGTAAGGTGTTCGCATCTGCTCCTTAGGAGATCATTTCCAGGGCAAACACTAGTATGCCCTTTTCCTGGAGATTCACAAACCATTAGCACATCTGTTTGTATATTAATTTGTCTGAATATTTCTCAGGGAGCACTGGGAGACTGTGGAAAAGGAGGTGCTCACTGGGCACACTAATACAGAGGTGAGGACCCCACAGGGCCCAGTCAGGCTGAGAAGGATGCAAAGGGCTTGAGGTCGGGCAAAGGCAGGTCCACCAATGTTATCTGGCTTCTGCAACTTATATTTCTGAGGGAGAGTCTTAGGTCTTCCAGAGCCATCAAGGAAACACCACTTAGAGTGGCTAGTGGTGGTGAAGTTTTGTCAAGTCAGTTCCAACTCATACAGTTCAAACCCTGTATAGAGCTTCCAAGGAGTGGCTGGTGAGTTTGAACTGCTGACTTTGTGGTCAGCAGTCCAGTGCTTATCCTACAGCATCACACCAGTACTTAGAGTGACTAGAACATCCTTTATACTGCCTTCTTACCCCTCCAAGTTTCAGCAGAGCATGGAAAGCAAGGTCCGCATGCTGCCAAAGGAGAGCCAGGAGCCCCAGGAAGCACACATGTGGATGTGGCTGGTCAGAACTAATGGTACATCGACTGGCCAGCTGGCATCCCCAGGATGGGAACACCAGGCTGGTCTGCCCCATGTGTGCTCACAGACAGCGGAGAGATATTCCTCACTAGGGTAGGGCAGAGCAGTTCCTCTGAGTAGCAGGAGCAGCACCCAGCCCGCCTCACCATGTATATGGCAATCTCGTCCGGTGCATCCCCATCCAGGTCAAACTTGAACGTCACCATCTTGTGGTTGTGTGTCTCCAGCTGGCACTCCACCATCTTGTCTCCTGTGTTGCACACCTAGGGAACACCCAACCAGTCAGCATCCCATGAGTGTGCGACTCACCTACCACTTATGCAGCCATGCCTGACACTCACGTTCAGAATGGTCAGCTTGGGCCGACTGGCTTTCTCCTGGCGGGAGCGTGTGCGGGTAGACTTCCGGTGGTGCTTCTTAGAGGACTTGCCTTCCAACTTCCCACCTCCAAAAGCACCTTCATAGCTGTCATTCATTTCCTTCCCAGAAGTGATGTCAGAGCCCCCATAACTGAGCAGAAACCAAGAATGTCAGTGCCACCCATAGTACAACCTGCAAGGAGGCTGAAATCGGAAGCTTGGCTTTGGGGAAAAGCTCAGAAACTCCAGCTGTCTGGGTATTCTCAGTCTCCAGGGATCTGTGGGTGAGGGATGCCTGCCTGAGGACCCTAGGTCTGCCCCAGGACCTATACTCCTTCATCCTGCACTGTCTCTACATGGGCACCTGGGGGTCCTATGAAAGGGTAAGACCCCTTGTTGTTGTTAAGTGTCGTCGAGTCAATTCCGACCCATAACAACCCTGTACAGGGTTCCCAAGGAGCAGCTGGTGAACTTGAACCACCGACCTTGCAGTTCAAATGACTTTGCAGTCTGATGCATTAGCCCATAGCGCCACATTAGGATTCCTGCAGGACCCCTAGTCCTCCCATTATTGTCTGTGTGCCCCTGGTCCTCCCAGTTTCACCAAGACTCTGTGAAATGGGCAAATGTGGGGGTTACAAAGCAAGTCCTTCCCCGTGCCACCATTTTCCCAACTGTGCACCTGGAATAGTAGCAAGCCAACACTTGTGAGCGTTTGAGGAGGACAGGACAGCAGTTGTTCTTCATAACTATCCCCAATAAAGACACTTGTCCCTCCCAGCAAACAGTCTTTACGCCTGGTGGTAGCAGGTGCCAAGCAGTGGAGATGAGCTAGGAGACGAAGGCTCTAGTGTGACTCTGCTGCTACCCAGAGATGTACCCTTTTGGCCTTCTCCCTGCCAGATGTGCAGAGGCCCCTGGCTCCTCCAACCCTCTACAGACCAGTGCCAGAACTCACATGGGCCCAGAGCACAAAGGCAACAATTATCACAGAAACTCACCTTGGCTTTGCCCAGGCAGGTTTAAATAGGGGCCGACATTTGTTTAAAACTGTGGTAGTATGGGGCAAACTGCAGCAGCAACCCACTCTGGGGTAGCTGTGTGGGGATGACCAGACGGGGACATTACCTTTCACAGCTCTGCAGGAGGCCCGGCTGCTTCTCTTGAATTGCCTGCTCCTGCAGCAAGAGTGTGGGGCAAGAGGTTGTGTCACTGTCCACCCCATCACCCCACATCACAGGGCTGAGGCCACTTATCTGCCTCTGAGGAAGACACACCCAGCCAGTGGAAAGGTGCAAACCCAAAGGCTTAGAGACAAGTGAATTTCTAAAACTGGGGTTGCATTGTGCCAGCTTCTTTTCAAAAACACAAACCCACTTTCATCAACCCTGAAGAGAACATTCTGGTCCTATTGGGGTGTTCCACAGGATTTTGTGTCAATTGAGGAAGGCTGTTTTCTAAACCCATAAATAAAATGACACCTTCTGCTCTGGTGTGGGTGTAACAAGAGTGTGAGATCTGGAAAGAGAAAGAGGGTAAAAACAGCCTGTATCTGCCCTGACCCAGTCACACATCTTTCTTCCAACAACAACCCCTGCCTCTGAGTTGCAAATGAGATTCAATGTGGGCCTGGATAGGATATGGGGATGGCAACTAGAGTCTCACCCGCTAGCCACGCCCCAAGGGTAACAGACTCAATACCTCTTGGGATGATTCCACTGTCAACTGGATAGCAGGGCAGGGAGCGGAGACCATGGCTCCAGCAGGCAATGGTGGGGTTGCAGGAGGCAGGATTGTAGTGGTCTGGGAAGGCAGGTTCTGTGAGGTTGCTGCCACAGTGGAGGCCTGGGAGTTGGAGAGCTGAGGCAGAAGCTCAGGGCCAGCAGCTGGGGGCAGCAGCTCCAGTAGTGGTGGGGAAAGGACAGCTGTGGGTGGTCCAGGTACAGAAGGGCCCAGGGCTGTAGCATCCACTGCATACGGGGCTGGGGGACCCAGGAGAACCTGTATAAGGAACATGGATGCAAGTTACAGTGTGCTCCCCTGGGCTAAGGACCACTGCCTTCACTGAGGGGCCTGGGGGGGGGTGGCCACAGGCATGTAAGTGAATACACAGGGGGCAGGCTCAGGGACTGTCGCATTTAAAATTAATCCCCCAAAGTAAGCCTTTAAGTGGTATGTTCAGTGTATGGATTCTGTAGAAGCAAATAAAAATAAATGGGCATTACTATAACTCCATTAGGAATCAACTTCCACATGGTTATGTGTTGTAGTCAGTTTTGACTCATAGCTACCCTGCTTAGGGTTTCCGAGGCTATAAATCTTTATGGGAGCAAAAAGCCCCATCTTTCTCCCAAGGAGCACCTGGTAGATTCAAACTGCTTACGTTGAGGTTAGCAGTCCAACTTGTAACCCACTAGCGTAGTGGTTACGAATCGGGCTGCGAACCTTAAGGTCAGCGGTTTGAAACTACCAGCTGCTCCGCGGGAGAAAGATGAGGCTTTCTACTCCCGTAAAGATTTACACCCTCGGAAACCCTGTACAGGGTCGCTATGGGTCGGAACCGACTCAACAGCACTTAACACACACACACACATATTACCAAAGCTCCTTCCAAATTAGTGCAGGAGTATCTAGAATTGGATTTCATTGTGAATTTCTTGCTAAGTCCATTAGAAAAATGTATAGGTGGATGCGGATGGCGCAGGACCAGGCAATGTTCCATAGTGCTGTGTTGTGTATAAGGTCGCCATTGGTTGGAGGCCAGTTCCGTGTTCCATGGTAACTAATAAAATGTGCAACTTACACTTAGTATCAAAACTGAGCTCCTTGCCACCATCTTGTTGGACTTGGGTCGGGGTTCTCTCCTACAGAGGTAACTCAAGGTTAGCACAAAGCCCCCAGAGGGAATCTGCTGAGACCCAGCTACACCGAAGGTGCTTATACCTCCTGGGAGGCTAGTTTGGAAGCTCACATATTTTCTTTGCTCTCTTTAAAAGCTCTTCAAAGACACATGAATAAAAGATTTGGCAGATGGTGACAAAGGCCCAAAGATCTGGACTTGGAGGAGTCATTGCCTTGGAGAAGCAGAGGCCTGGAGGTTGCCCCAGTTTGGGGTAGGAGAAGGGACAAACTTAGAATCATTCCTCAGCTCCCAAGACATGGTAAGAGATGACTTTACTTGGGGATCCTGGATGGGAGACTGGGGAGCACAGGAATGACTGGTTTGTGCAGTTGGAAAGAAGTAAGGCCTGTGGTCATGCAGCCCAGGGCTCAGCAGCCACATCCAGGGGAATGTCTGCCTTCAGCAGAAGGACTATGAGATGACTGTTCACTTATCAATCCTGGTCTCCCACTGGCCACCAAGCCTGGCTAGTGATCTTGGGGATTCATGATGCTATCTCTTCAGCCTCAGGCTGTGTCGATGATTGCATCTGAGGGTGCCTAGGCAGGAGTGCAGGAAGTCCAGCCACCAGGTCCTCCCCACAGCAGGAGTGGGACAGCCACCCAAGTCTAAGGGGATACACATATGACCAGGACTTGAAGCTCACACCTACTTTCTCCTGGGTCTTCCTCTGAAAACAGAACTGACCTTAAATCTACTGACAACTGAAGTTGAGACCCTGTGCACACAGGCAGGCAGGCACTCACTCAGTTATGGATGGATTAGTACTCTCTTTAGACCAGTGTTACCCTGTTGATCCATAAACACTGTCCCATCTTCCTCTAAATAGGAGTCCCTTTTGGAAATAAAATAGCAAGAAATGAGTTTCAGGAAAATAAGAGTTTCTGCAGCATGCGTACCCACAGTCTCTGGAATTACCCTATAGTCTGTTAAGTTTTCCCTGTATTTAAGAAAGTCTATTGTATTCTGCAATTTATCTGACCTCCTCACCACCTGGATCTCTGTTCTTATATTTTCCCCTTCTTTGACATTATTAATATTTTGATCTTTGATTGGCCTCACAGGTCCTCTGAATTCATTGTTGTAATTTTGTTCTGTTCTGAACTCTGCTATCTGTCGACTGAGTCTGGGTGGTGTTGCCACATCTGTCAATCTCTGGTTGTTGTCTGTTCTTGTTGGTTTTCAGACCAAAGAACATCCTTTAGGATGTTTTGAAGTGCTGGATTGGCCTTGACAAAATCCCTTAGCTTGTTTATCCTGGAATGTTTTGATTGCACCATTGTATTTGACTGACAGTTTTGCTGGATAGAGGATTCTTGGTTGGCAGTTTTTTTTTCTTTTAGAGTTTTATATGTCTCCCCATTGCATTCTTGCCTGCATGGTTTCTGCTGAGAATTTGAGCTTAATCTGATTTGCTTGCCATTGTAGTTAATGCTTCTCTCTTTTAGGATTCTCTCCTTGTCTTTGGTTTTGGAGAGCTTGATTATGGTATGTCTTGGTGATTTTCTTTTGGGGTCTATCCTTCCTGGGGTTCATTCAGCTTCTTGAATGTTTATCTTCTCATCCTTCAAGATGTGAGGGAAATTTTTCTCCAGTAGTTCCTCAACTATCTCCTCTGTGGACTTCTCTGATTGGCATCAGTTCTGGGATGCCAATAATTCTTAAGTTACTCCTCTTCATGTTATCCAACATGAATCTTAGACTCTCTTCAGATTTTTTATCCTTTTTTCTGCTTGCTCTTCTATCTTAGCAGTATTGAGAGATTTGTCTTCCAGATCGGTGGTCCTGGCTTCCTTCTCTTCAATTCTACCCTTTGCCTTTTCAGTGTATTGTCCATTTCTGATATTTTATTAATAATCACCTGGACCTCTTTTTGTAGGTTTTGAATTGTTTCCAATGGTATATCTATCTTGTTTGATTGCTCCTGTAGCACTTTCCTGACTTTTTCCTTATTTTCCTCCACCCTTTTTTGGAGCATTTGAATTTGTTTCCATATCATTCTTCTGAATTCCTTTTCAGGCAGATCCAAAGCCTGCTCCTCTTCTACTGGGAAGTCTGTGTCTGTCTCCAGCTTATTTGTCTCAGTTACTCTTTTCTGTTTTTGGACATGTGCTGAGATTTTCTGTTGTTTTTTTCTTGGACATTTTCAGTAGTTAGGTAGGTTTTTAAGGCTTAAATGAATGTATGTTGCTGTATTGTTACGCTTACTGAGTGTTTCCTGTTGGATGTGATCTGGTGATAGGCTTCCCTTTTCTACCAGCTGGTAATGGCTCTTGTCCAAATGGTGGGTATGCTTGTAGCTTGGCTATATGAGAACACTTGAGATCTCTTCTTGGGTAAGGTAGGGGGAGAAAGCTCCCACCCCCAGGAAAGAGTGAGACCAAAAGGACCCCAAACAGAAACAATATAAAAGCAGAGACAAAAACCACCAACTAAAAACAAAAATAAAACTGTAGCCAACTGTCCAATAGCCTTTGCTGTGCAGGCAGGGATAAAGGGCCACCCAGGTCAACTTTAGGGCTGAGTCCCAGAGTCAGACGTCACAAGTTGCAGCCTGCGGGACCAATGTGGCTTCAGGAACCTCTTCCCTGTGCCATGGGAAAACTGTGGGCACAATACTGGATCCTTTTGGGGGTGTGCTCCCGCCCTGGTGTCCGGGCTGGACAGTGAGGAGGAAAGAAACATGGAAAATGAAAAGTGAATAATGAAAATTCTATCACACCTCTTTTTCCAGATGCAGCTCTCCTGCTTCTTAGCGCTGCATCACTGTATCCACTTGACTGTGGCCCCACCCTCTAATCTCAGTCCAGGCCGAGGGGCCCGTAGGGAATCGATCATCGCGATCGATTCAGAAATCTCGTTATTTTGCTTCCACAGTTAGGTTTCACCACAGGTGGCTGTGGGAAACTGGCGCCTGGCACCTTATACAAGATCCAAAACTCTGGCACTGCTCTAGGAGAGCTCCTTCTCTGTTTTATCTGCACCTCCACCGAGGAGCCTTTCCTGCCTGTCTCTGCTTCACCTGCCCCCAAACCAGAAGTTCCCACCTTCCCACAGTGTCTGGATGAAACTCCATGACAAAATAAAAATGAGGCCATCTGCCCCACTTTACATTGAAGCTCACAAAGTAAGGGATGTACCCACCCTCACACATCTGTGAGGATTAGAGCTGGGATGGACCTGGTGAGAGGCCCCCTGTACACTCACTGAGGACATAGCCCCACCACTATGAGGACTCCTTCACAGTCGACAGGCAAGGTCTACAAGATTGCTTCACTGACACACCAGGCCATTATATCTCTTGCTTCCACCACATCTACCCTTCTCACCAGCAGCTCCAACCAGGTCTCCTTGACTTCTAAGAGAGGAAGACCCCCATCTGTCCACTTGGTGGTAATTTCTGAAAAAATACTTTGGAAAGAAAGGTCACCACCAGCACCTCAGTGGCCCAGCAGCAGTTCAGATGCAGTAGGCTCTTGCCCTCCAGGCTGGATGAGGGCAGGTGCCACCCATGCCAGGTGCAGCCCTGGGCTCCTCCACTACCCAGCAGCAACTACTGACTCTTAGCAAGGGCTTGCTAGTGGACACGTCTGCTAACTTCCATCCATATCCCTGATCCGCCTGACACATGCTAAGAAGTAGGAAGAGCTTTAACAGGCTTCAGCCTCCTTCTCCAACACATCTTCGTGGCAGTGTCTCCTCTTAGATCTTCCCCATCTGTCCTTGGTCAGATGAAGGGCAAAGGGCCCAAAGATGGGGGTGGGAGGAAGAAGCCCTTGGAGGGCAGCACTGGGTGGTGAATTACCTGGGTCCCTGCCCCAGCAGCCAGAGCAGCCTGCTCGGAAAGGTGGCTGGCACGTGGCGGGGGGGCCTGAGGAAACGTGGGCACCTGCGGCTGGGCTGGCGCTGGTTGCAGCTGCTGAGCACCCACCCGTAGGTTTTGAGCATGTCGGGGAGAAGGCGGCACTTCACTCGACACCATATGTGAGAAGGCAGCTGGGTACATGGGCTGTTGGGGCAGCTGGGTGGGTAGCTGGGCTACAGCAGGGTGGATGGACAAGGTGGCCACGCCCTGTGGGGCCACAGCAAGCAGGGGGATGGGGGTGGTGGTACCAGGTGCGTTTGGCACAATGGTCCGGCAGGGCACTGCCAGAGGAGCCAGGGGGGCACTGGGGTTAAGGGGAAGACTTGGCAAAATCACAGCCGGAGAGAAATACTGAGGCGGTGGTGGCGGCACTGGGGGCAGGCTGGCAGCTGATAAATCAGGGAGGGCTGAAGGGAGGCTGTCAGTCCCTGCCAGGGGGGTGACAGGAGGAATGACAGGAAGCGGAGGCATCTGAAAGAGACACAAGAGCAGATCAATCACGGCTCAGGTCATGGGCTACAATGGAGGTACCTATGGATTATAGAGACTTCCTGATTAGCTTCACAACAGCAACAAAAGATGGTGGTGACACTGATGTTTGCCGCTGCAGTGCTTTTGTGTAGCTGCTGGAGGAAGCAACCCAAGCATAAAAACGCAACTTAAATGGAAATGCAAACGCATGAAACTACTCAAATGAAATGGAAAGTCTGAAGCTTCTAATGGATGCAGAATGCAGAAGGGAGCTGGTGGATAGTCCTTATGGCCTCTCTGTGGGGCCTCTCACTTCACTCTGGAAAAGTGGGACTTTGCCTCTGCATCCCAGAACAGTTTACAGGAAGGTCAGGACTGTAAGAGTCACTAGATTGGCTCTAACCAACAAAAATAACTTTAGTCTCATGCTCCCAACCTATACAAATTCAAATTGAAACCAATTCTTCAGCGTTCTATGGTGCAGCACACCTCTGAGCAGCCCTTTTCTGGCTGGACTGATCCCAAGGTAGCTCCTGGACATACTGGCAGTCACCAACTTAATCAGACAAGACCCCACTCTCGTAGGAGGGAGCCCAAAACCTTCCTTGACTGATAGAGACACATCCTTGAGAAATTTGATTTTTGTCTGCATGGATTTTCACACTTCAAATTTTTTAGTAGAATCTCTGGCAGTTCTTGCCTTAAAAATAGTGGCTTTCTGGCGGAATTTACAAGAATGTCACTCCATCTATACCTCAGTGCAATTACAAGGCAATGAGAAGTATGACAGGGCAACTTCAGTCTGCTTGAAAAGCACTCCAAATACTACAACCATTGACTAGCAAGACCACCACCTAGCCTGACATTTAAAACCACCTCCAAGTGATGTGAACAAAGACACAGCCCTGAAAAATGCAAGACAACTCTTATGAAAAAGCCTTCTAAGTAATGCTTGCCTTCTGAGAAATCCTCTCTTCAGAATGAAGAGCACTTGCTGTCCTACCACTGCTGAGCTAACTAACACTGAGGTCCATGAGGTGGTGCTCACAGTGCCCCTGAATGTCTATGAAATTCCCATCAGTGCTAACACTCAGTAGACAGGGATACACTTCCTCACCTATTACATTTGCACCTTCTAAATGCCACCAGCAAGATGTTAGAGACCACTTTTACAAGGTGACCCTAACAATGTGTGACTAGTCTTCCCTGTGGTCAGTGATGCCTCTCAGTTGACTACCTGACATCCAAAGACATGCATTTAATAAGGCCTTGGGTTTCTTCTATCAATCAAATTCTATAGCATCAACGTATCATTTTAGGTCAATGTTCTACTCAGCTGGTCTTGGCATGGACTCCATTCTAGAATATTTGTTCCTGGGACAGATGCACATGGTATCTTTCTAAGCCTTGATGATGGGCGTGTTGCTGGCCAGGCACAGTAGGGTACTGGCTGCTGGATCTCCCTCTCCCTATTACCAGAGATCTCTAACATAGGGATGTTATGTCCTTAATCCTGAGGACCTAAGGGCATCCAGAACCCAGACTACCACTCACAGTCCAAAAAGGTAGTGCAGCCTAGAATGAAGGTCAGAGAATGATCTACCTTAGTGGGAGAGAGGTGGGGACAAAGGGTGGATGACAGATGATAGATGAGAAACAGCCCAGCCAAGAGAAACTCTCCTTGACATTCTGGTGTGTACAGGTGGTGGTGGGTAGAAAGCAGGGAACAGTACAGGGGTCCACTTTGTGGTGAGGTCAGGAAGCCAGGCAGAGTGTCTGGGATGTAACACGGGGCATGGCCCCACATTATAGAGTCCCACCTGACAGTCCAGGTTTCCATACAGACAGCGAACAGGCCTCTACAGGGGCCCTGGTACACCAGCCTGGGTGGGGGGGCTAGCAAGTGGGGACAGAGTCAGGTGGTACCTGAGGAGCTGGAACTTGAGCGAGCGGTGGCAAGGACACCTGTGTCATCTGGAGGGGCTGCAGTGGTGCAGCTGGAGGCAGGTAAGGAGGCAGATGCTGGGGTAGATGTGGAGGCACTGGCTGGAGCTGGCCCAGAGGCTGTGGAGCCAGGACTGGCTGCAGGGGTGCTGGCTGGGACTGTGGCTGAGGCTAGAGGGAGAGAATGGTGCTTACTTTAGGCCAGCTATTCTGCCAAGTCAGGAAGGTATGCACTCTGCCTGTGTAAAACAACAAAACGTGAAAATACACCATATATACTGACCATCAAGAACACTCAAGAGGGTCAACTCTCCACTACCTTTGAAACAGTGCAGCCATGAGGAAGTACTCACAGTGGATGGAGCCTTTGCCACAGGTCCAGGCCCCAGGACAGGTAGATGGCCGGAGGGAGGGGCTTCATGAGATGGGAGCTTATAGGAGTGGTGCCTCCTCATACTTGTCTATGACTTTCCCTTGTTCAAAAGTCCCTTTCTGCCTCTCCCAACACAAGCTTCCCCTAGGTAGTGTGACAGCACAGGAATGCCTATCCACCTCTGCCTACCTGGCCACAGCTGCTGGAAAAGAATCTGGTGCATGCTGGCTAGACAACCTTGCCCTCAACAATGGTGTGAGCTCTGCCCCTTCTGAAGATGAGTCCACAAGGGCCATCAGTCAGCTGGTCTTGAGAAGGAGCAGAGCTCACACTCACCTGATGGCTGGGGGATAGTGGTTGTCCTGGTTCTGGGAAGTGCTGCTTGGAGAGCAGGCCAGGACCCATAGCCAGACCAGACTGAAAAGTAGCCCTGCTCAACACTACTCTGCAGAGTCCCCTGGCTCCAGGCATAGCAACAGGGACAGCCCACCCCTCACTTATTTTGTGCCCAGTTACCCCACCAGTGACACACCTTCCAGGGGCACACTAATAATGCTACAGAGCTTCCAACATGGGGTATCTTGGAGCACTGGCCTGTGGGGTACTGTGCAGCCATGAAAGCAGATAGCTACAGAGATGTTGTCAGGCTAAGGAGAAATACATGTCCTTACACTGAATGGGAAGTAACAACAGTGTGTACATGCTGCACAGACGGCACGGAGAAGAGCACCCGGATGGGACAGTGAGGGGATGGGCGGGGAAGCAGGAAGGAGGGTGGGGCCACAGGCTCAGTGTGGAATGGGAATCTGGTGACAGTAAGAAAGGGCTGCTGGCTTTCTAGTATAATCGTGGTGCTGTGGTTTCATTTCCCTAGAGCGTCCAACACTTGGAGACACACACTGATACACTGGTGAGGAAAATGCCTGCATGTCTAGGAGTGACTCAGAATGGTGCAGACAGAAGAAGGGGGATGGAACAGGGATTGCCACACGTCAAGGTGGAACATGATCGTCCATCTCTACCGAGAAGTTTGCTGGATGCAGTATGTGGCGGTACTTCATCTCATGTACTTAGGATATACTGCAAGGAGGGACCAGTCCCTGAAGTAGGACATCAGGCTTAGTAGAGGGTCAAAGAAAATGAAGGAAGAGGGTCAAAGAAAATGAAGGAAGACCCTTAAGATCGATTGACAAATTGGCTGCACCAATGAGTTCGCATATAACAATTGTGAGGATAGGGCAGGGCTGGGCAGTGTTCTGTCCTGCTGGACAAAGGGTCCTCATGAATCAGGACTGACTCAATGACACCTAACAACACTTCCCAACACTGCTATCACCTGCTTATCTTTCACAGCATGGCCTGGTGACAGCAGCATGGAGGTGAGGCAAAAATAGCTGGTGCCTAGGAGTCAACCTCTCACTCTGGACTCATCCACAGCTTTGGTCAGGATGTGCCACGGCCCAGCTGATGGGCTGACCTTAATGTCAATGCCTGGTGCCATGGGAAAAGCACTAGTGTGAGCAGTTCCAGAGTCCAGTGCACGACTCAGGGAAGGCCTCCACCTCCCCTTTCTCCCCTACTGCTTTTGTATCCTACTCTCCCTTTTCAGTGGCCTATCACTACAGCAACCATCCCCATAAGAGAGGCGCTGTCTGGGGAGGGTGAGTACTTCCCACAGCCTCTGCCTGCCCTGGGGATCCCTGCAGGCACTTCCCTTAGGTAGGTGGGGTGTAGAGGTAGCGCTCTGTCCTAAGGCTGCACATGGCATGTTGGGTCACATCCATCAAGCCCTATCCAGAAGACCTGCTAAGGTGAGATGGAGCTCAGGTGCAATGCTTGCTGCTCTGACCTCAGGAGTCCGAGCCCTCCACTTGGAAGCGTGAAAACAGGTGGACACCTGAGCCTGGGTAATGCTTACAGTCATTTGGGAGAAGCCATTAGCCTTTCCTGAGTAAGTGCTCTTCTGTCACTCAGTAAAACAAACAGTATAGCCAAATGCCTGCTCACTCCTGGGGTTTGGTCAGCAAAAGGAAGGGAGGCAGAGCTGTCTCCTAATGGGCTGGCCATGCCTCAGTATCATGAAGGCAAAAAGCTGTGGCAGGATCAAGCCAGTGACATCTGAGAAGACCCCCCTAAGAAGCTCCTGGAATGGCCAGAGCCCCATAGAGACAGCCTGATCTCACCCTGAGGACCCCTTCAGAGACTGCCGGGGCTGGGGTGAAGACGGTGAACAGTCCATAGCTGATGAATGGCATGTATGGAAGCTGAGGAACAGGAGGATCTTGTGGGGGATCTGATGAAGACAGAATCCACACCATGGCCCATACAACTGCTTCTGGGCTGGTGTCGGGGAGTATCTAAGTCACCCTGAGGATTTCTTCCAGGGACTTGGAACTCAAAGCTAATTGCTCTAGGCCTGAGCACTTAGTCAACTGTGTGCTTTCTTTAGAGTTAAAAAAATAAATAAATAAATAAAAAACAAATGCCATCATTTCCATTCAGTAACTTCTCCTTTCACCTAATATCCAGAGCCTTTTTCCAAACCTTGCAAATGATTCCACAGGTGTGGTGGCAGCTGGAGGTGTTTCCAGCGTGCATCTCCAGTGCTCTAGCAGGAGCATGCCCTGTATCTCTGCCCGGTTTCCATGACGCTGATTTCACCAGCGGGACGATAGCCAATCAAGAGGAACACGAGCTACTTACAGCCCCTCAGCTTGACATTAGACTGAACCTAATGCCTCATGAGCATAAGTACCACTTTCTTGTCATCTTTTGACAGTTTAAGGTCAGTCCTCAGGCACAGATCCATTGGGTCAAAAGGGAGGAATGCTGCTGCTGTTCACACAACATGCCACAAACAGCTGTCATGACTTCCTTGCCCCTAAGTGGAACCACAATGCCACAAACTATAAATACTGACTGTGTATTTCAACACTGTATTCCTTATTCAGCAGGGCTCTGGGCAACTTGAGCACTTGCAGGCCCCTTCAGTTTGCAGTTGTCTGATCACCAGCAGAGATAAGCCTTCCCTGTGCCCTCTGTTTCTTTCCCTATGGGAACCGCCGACCTGGAACACAGGCTGTGGACAATATGGGTTTAGGTGGACTCACCGCAGTGGGCTGCTGGTAGGCACCCAGGGCAGGCAGGCTGTTCGGCAGGCCAGGCCCCTCGCTCACTGGGGGGCTGTAGACACAGGGCAGGGCATCTGGGAGAGAGCTGTACACCACACTCTGCTGGCTACTCTGTGAGTCTGAGTACACAGTAGAGCCCTGGCCGCTGTCAAACGTGCTGTCCGCTGTGGAGAACAAAAGTGCTCAGTGGAAACTCCTTCCCAAAATTACCCTGACTGCAGCTCCACACTGTCTAAAAACTGGAAATCATGGCCCTGGTGCTAACAGTTGACTTAAGTATGCATTAAAGGAAGACAGAGTTGTTTCTTGGCCACACAAATAATACAAGTATGCTGTTTTAAACACTCAACTAATACAGTGGCCGGTAGGAATGCTGCCACTGCACCCTGCAGAGGGGATCTTCCACCTGGGCAGAGCCTGTAGGTCCCCTTTGACCAGCCTTGCCTCAGGATGTCCACCTCTCCCTCAACATCATTTCCATCCAAGACAGAGCAACATTTCCACTGTGGCTGACCTGCAGTCTCAGAATAGTTGGTGCAACTTTGATGGGAACCACTTGTTTGAGCTCCGAAGAGGCCTGGGAAGGCTGAAGGGGTTGAGGGAATAAAAACTTTTCACCCACATTTTAATGCTGGGGACAGGGGTCTCAGCACTCACTATCATCACTAGATGTTGCTGAGTGTGGGGCAGGAAGACCTGGGTCCAAATCTACGTGCCACATGACCACAGTACCTTGACTGACTTGGGGAGACCACGAGGCCTCTGCCCATAGACAGGCTGTGAGAACAAAGCATGGCCATTCTGCATGTGGGGACCTTGGGGTCTGGCAGTGAACAGCAAGCTTCCACAGACCAGGGAGGCTATTGGCCCCTCAACTCAAGCCCTCATCAGCTCAGTGGAGTTGACACAGAGATGCACACGCAGAGCCCCAGGATGTATGCCCAAGAGAACAGTTAATCCCAACTGTCCACATCAGAGTAGATGGAAAAACATCTGTTTATAATTGCAGCTTAGATTCACTCTTTCTAGATTTCAAAAGTTACACAAATCTTAGAATTTGCCACCTAAGAATACCAAGCTATTTCCAAGAGGGACCACATTTCAGACATCAATATTGTATACATTTACAATAGAAGAAACAAAAAGGGAACTCTTGCTGACTTTTCATTAAAACAACTTTTTCTAGGTCATTAGAACTTGCTGAAGAGTAATTATGCAAAACCAATCAGACTGGGGTTTTTAATGAGCTAACCTGTATTCACTCACAGAGGGGGCCAAGGGGCAAAGCCACACTAATTTTTATAAAGTGAATGTATTTATTACTGAAGCAATTAAAAATAATCTTAACACTTATTTTTAATGATCTATTGACAAAGTTGTGCTGATTCAGTTATCAGGTGGCAGACTAATGACAGCGGACGGCAGCTTACCGCACTGGGGCAGGATGACGCAGTGGTCAGTGGAAAAGGAACAGCACAGTCATAACAAATAACTGTTGTCTCTTAGAGGGTACAAATATGTATTGGCTTGCTAATCCTACAATAGAGACAAGTCCCTCTCTTGGACTATGGGGCTTCAGTTTGGTGTTCCCGAAGTTGGCCCCTATTGAACACAAGGCTCTTCCATGGGAATAGTTTACTGTCAGGTAACAGAACAAGGACAGTCGCCATGTTGTAATGGGGAACCATCAGAAACAGGTGCAGAAGAATATGTATCATATGCTGCCATTGATGTAATAAAAGCAAAAATAATGTGTGTGCATGCACATGTGTGTATGTGTGTGTGCATGTGTGAGCGTGTGTATGTGTCGTAACTATATGAGGTAGGCTATCTCTGGGAGGAAAGTTAGGAAACTGGTAACATCAGCTACCTCTGAAGTAAACTGCTACCATACACACTGCAGACTTCTGAACTTTACACTACATATATGATCTGAGAGGTTTGGCCACTAGGACTAAAGTAACATGGGGGAAGGATACCCTAAAAGCAAATGACACTGCCAAAGCAGTTTCAGCAAGGATGCTCCGGACATCCCTCAAACATGCTACCCTGTGCAGAACTTTGTGCCCTGGTGCCACTCCCTCCTCCCCACCTGGTGAGGAGGCAGAAATCAGCTCCCAGTCCCAAGAGAGGAAGCAGGAGTGGGTGTGGGGTGAGAGCATAGGAGGTCTGCATCTGGCTGCATGCTGGCCCCTCTCAGGCCATCTGAACTGAGAAGCTGGACTTCTGTGAGACTTAGACTTCAGTGGTCATACTGTGACATTAGAGGATAGTGCCTTAGGGTGGGGCTGGACACTGGACCCCAAGATGGCCCAGAACCCTCATGCTGAAAAACTAGGCCTTTGTATCTAGGCCTGATGCATTTTCCAGCAGACCCACCATCCTCAGCTGCCCACACAGACCCTGGCCCCGGAATGCTGGCAGGAGAGAGTGGGTTGAGGGGCAGAGGAGTGTTATACCCTCAGCTTACTAGGGATGCCTATGGCCCAGACTTCATGTGATACCATGACACCTCAACCTATCAGCCTTCCAAGTCACACTACTGATCATTCTCTCTGCAGAGCATGTTATCAAAGTTGAGCAAGAGGACTTAACTTTTCTTTGGCAAGCAGCTGCTTAGTACTGAGCTCCCAGTGAAGCCCACACTGTAGGCTCCAGCCTGGCTTGCCGGCCACAGGGAAGACTCACATGCAAGGGAAGTGGCGCTTGCAGGAAGCTTGAGTGGGAAGAGGTGCTGGTCGGCCTCAGGCTCCTCAGACTCGGTGGGTGCTGGATGCCCATCTGGTGCGTGGTACGTCACCTGGACCTGCAGTGGCACATTGGGGCCCCTGGCCTTGTCGGGGCTCTCAGTGGTCTGTACCTCTGAGGGCTGCAGGACAGGCCAGATCCTCTCCCGCCGCCACTGGATCAGCGCCACCCGGTCCCGGATTGACTTGGCTATAATCTTCATATCACTCTCATGGAAGAATCCAGATTCAATCTGCAAAGAGGTCATCAGGTTGGTTAGCGTTAGAGAGCCTGCCCTTGTACCATGCATCCACTTCTGGGTTCAGGGGTGGCTCCTGTTCATGGAGCTTTGACCCAAACCCCTTAGGGAGAGGCCTCCCCACATCTAAGTTTTATTATTATTCTTTAACTGAACACAAGCGTCCGTATAAAACAAACAAAGAAATGGAAAGTTTGTTGGAAAATGGGTTATTTATGCAGTCTCAAGGTATCACTTTCACAAAATACTTATTCATTACAAAGGGGAAGGAGAAGCTGCAGAGTGGAGAAGGTGATAGTTGTCACTCCTCAACCAGGAGTGACAGGGAGCACCCTCAGCAGTGGGACAGACAGAGACAAGTGCCACCTGCGGGATGCAGTAAGGACTAGCCCCCCTCCTGAGGAATTCCTGCCAGAGACACACCTAAGTGCATTCAGGGAGAAACAGCAAGAAAGCCAACCTGAAAAACAGCCCACAGTGACTCTTCAGAGAGTTAGGTCATGCGTATCAGAGACTTAAGAGACATGATAACTAAATACAGGACACAACTGGAAGCTACCAATTCAACGTTGTCAGGGCAGCTAGCAAGGTCTGGCTGGGGTTCTGCGAAGGTTATGGTTAACTTGTTCATGCTGACTGTGGGCGGTAATGAAGGAAAATGTGCCAGACACTAAAGCAGACACTGGGAGGGCGGAGGATGGGATATTGAGTCAAGAATTTATTTTTACACAATTCTTTTTTTTTTGTAGTGTACTTGTAACATTTCTGTATGTTTCTGATTATTTCCAAAAATCTACATAAAAAGAAAATCCTGCTACAGATAGCAAACAAAATGTTGTCTGTCCATACAAGCATTACTACTTAGTCATAAAAAAAAATGAAGTTTTTTGATGCATGCTACAACATGGATGAACCATGAAAACATGCTGAGTGAAATAAGTCAGTCAAAGCAAGACAGAATACTGTGACACCACAAATGAAACATCAAGAACAGGCAAGTGCATTGAGGTCAGTGTTTATTAGTGGTTACCAGGGGTGAGGAGAAGGAAAGTGGGGTGATGGTATCACAACATGATGAATGCAATTGATGTCACTGATTCTACACTTCAAAATGATACAAGTGTCATATTGACAAAGATATACATGTTATCACAATTAAAGAAAAGAGACCTCTGATGGTCAGAGTACGGGCCCTAAAGCTCAGGCTCACCTGCCATGGCCAAAAGCAGATGTGTGAGCAGAGACCACAGAAGGGTAGCCAAAGGCCAACAGGGTCTGCCAGCCTCCTGAGGTAGGAAACACTTCATCCATACCACATGGGAGCCTCATTCCTGGTCTCTGACAGCAGGACTGGACCCCTGCTTTAGCTCAGAGCCTGGAACCCTGACCACAGGAGGCAGCAATAGGACATGCGGGCATGCCAATCCCATTCCACAGTTCGTCACTAACCCCAACACGGGCCAGGTGTGTTAGAGAACTACCAGTGTGTATGGGCTTCCTCCTTCCCCTAGTAAACACGTGAATACAGCCTTCCATGTCATATACCCTAGCAGGGTCTGGCAAGAGAGTCCTAGCCCTGATCACCAACCTGTGCTAATGGTCACCCACCCCAGGCCATCTCCTCCCTGCCTTAGATGACACAACCACAGCTCTCGAGGAGGCCTCCCACAAACCGCACCTGTCCATTTCTATTTCCTGCCTGGCACTGTAGCTGTGGCCTATATTTCCTTCTGTCTCTCTTCATAGCCACCCCACCACACACACACACGAAACTGATCCTTGCCAAGGCGCTTTCTGCCTTTTCCCGGATGCTGAAGAATTTAGCCACCTTGCAGGCCACTGAGCTAGTGTCTTGATCACATGCAGATTTGAGGTGGAGCGAGAAGTTAGCCAGTGTGATCATAGCTACTCCTCCTTCGTGGTAGCTGCTCCCTGGCTGTGAGCATTCCCTGCTTCCCCAGAGTGTCTAAGCCCAGTCTCCTGGGGGCTTCCCCTGACCCTGACAAACATACCTATGGGACAGCTTGGGAGATGAATTCCAAAGGGGAGTAAGTAAGGCCAGCATTCTCTTTAAATCATCAGATAACATTAAGAAGGTCTCATTGGAGTTCTAGAACATCTTTGACACCGAACACTTGCTAATATGTTTTTATCAATGAAAGCAGGCCTCAGCCCAAGATTAGAGTCCACCTGGATGTGCCTATACTACAGGAACAGGTTCCCCGCCCCCTAACCCATCTTTTTTTTTTTTTTTTGTAGGAACAGGTTTCACTTTAAAAAAAAAAAGTTGTCTTCTACTTAATGACAAGTGGTGTTGGTGTTGGTGTGTTTTTTTAAAGTATACTTGTTAACCACCACTCGTCTGTCAGTTTGTCCTACTGTGAGGGATTGCGTGTTGCTCATGTGCTGGAAGTTATGTCACTGGTATTTTAAGTAACAGCAGGGTAGTCCATGGTGGACAGGTTTCAGCTGAGCTTCAAGACTAACAGAGACTAGGAAGAAGGAGACGCAAACAACTTCTGATGTTAGACACTGATAATCTTATAAGTAAGAGCAGAACATTGTCAGATATAGTACTGGAAGATGAAAAGATTATAAATAGCCCTAGATTATTGTCAGCTATACTGCTGGAAGATGAGCCACTCAGGCTGGAATATACTCAAAGCACAACTGGGGAAGAGCTGCCTCCTCAAAGTAATGTTGACTAGGATGATGAAAATGGAGAAAAGCTTTCTGGAACTTCATTTGCCGATGGGGCACAACTCAAATGAGGAGAAACAGCTTCAAACATTCATTAATAATCAGAACATGGATGTATGAAGTATAATTCTAAGAAACTTGGAAGTTGTCAAAAATGAAATGGCATGCATAAAGATTGATATTCTAAGCATTAGTGAGCTGAAATAGACTGGTATTGGTCATTTGTATCTGACAATCATATGGTTTAGTGTGTCAGAAACGTCAAATTCAAGAGGAATGGTATAGTCTTCATATCAAAAAGAACATTTGAAGATTCATATTGAAGAACAACACTGTTTAAGATATGCTAATAGCCTTATACCTATAAGGGAGATCAGTCAATATCATTATTATTCCAATTTACATACCAACCACTAAGGCCAGTGATGATGAAACTGAAAAATTCTACCAACTTCAATCTGCAACTGATCAAACACGCAATTAAGATGCTTGAAGCATAATAACCTACATGTACTAAACTAGTGGGATGAGGGATAGGACTGCAGATAGTCTCAAGGCAATTCCCTGTAAAAACAGTTATTACAGTACAGTAACCTGGAAAACTTGTATTAGCCACTTGATTGAAGTCAGCACCATTATTAATGGAACAAATAGACATTACGTGTGACTTAATAATTTGCAGCACATCTCTGCTATTCCAGGCAAATACAAATAACCAAAACCTAATCATGAGAGAAAAAAAAAAAAAATTGGAGGGAAATTATCCAAAACGGCTGATAAACTTTATAAGGTCAAGGTCATGAAAATGAAGAAAAAACTGATCATTTTTCAAGACTGAGAGACTAAAGAAACATGATAATTGGATACAGCATGTGAACTTGGATTGAATTATTTGAAATAAGGGTTGTTATTCAGAAAGTTGATTTAAAAAAAGATGTATTGATAATTACTGGTGACTGGAATGCAAAGGTTGGAAACAAAGAGGAAGGATCAGTAGTTATAAAATGTGGCCTTGATGATAGAAATGTTGTTAGGGATTGCATGATAGATTTTGCAAGACCAATGACTTCTTCATTACAGATTCCTTTTTGTTTTAAGTTTTTATTGTGAATTGAGTGATAGTTTACATGGGAGAACATTAGTTTTACAATCATTGTTTCATTACAATGATTACAATCTCCTCCATGCATCATCATTCAACAGTATTTGCTTCTATTCCTCCCTCTGTGGTTTTTTTTTTGTGTGTTTTTTCACGTACACAAAACACTTAGGAATAAATAATCATACAAATACCGTTTTTAAATAACATAAAAGACAACTATACACATGGATCTTACCTGATGGAATACACAGAAATCAAATAGACTACATCAGTGGAATGAGATGATGGAAAAGTTCCATATCACCAGTCAAAACTAGAACAGGGGAAGACTGAAACAGACCATCAATTGCTCATAATCAAGTCTGGGCTGGAGTTGAAGAAAATGAAAACAAGTCCATGAGAGCCAAAATATGAACTTGACTGAACATGTTGTTGTTGGTAAGTGCCATCGAGTCGGTTTCGACCCATAGCGACTCTGCACAGGGTTTCCGAGGCTATAAATCTTTATGAACGCATAAAGCCTCATCTTTCTCTTGTTGAGCAGCTGGTAGTTTCGAACTGCTGACCTTGCGGTTCACAGCCCAATGCGTAACCACTACGCTATCAGAGCTCCTTGAACATATCCCACCTGCATTTACAGATTATCTCAAGAACAGAGTGGATGCATTAGACACTAATGACTGAAGACCAAAAGAGTTGACATCAAGAACATCATACAGGAAGAAAGCAAAAGGTCATTAAGAAGACAAGAAAGAAGAAAAAAACCAAAATGGATGTCAGAAGAGACTCTGAAACTTGTTATCCAGCTTATAGATGCTAAAGAAATGAGGAGGTGAAAGAGCTGAACAGAAAATTTCAAAGGGCAGCCTGAGAAGACAAGGTAAATATTGTAACAAAATGTACAAAGATCTGGAGTTAGAAAACCAAAAGGGAAGAACACACTCAGCATTGATCAAGCTAAGAGAACTGAAGAAAATATTAGAGCCCCAGCTTGAAATATTGAAAAATTCTATGGGCAAAACAGTGAATGATGCAGAAAGAAGATGGACGGAATATACAGAGTCACTCTATCATAAAGAAATGATCAATGCTCAACCATTTCAAGAGGTAGCAAGCATAAGATCAAGAGTCAATGATACTGAAGAAAGAAGTCTAAGGTACACTAAAGGTATTAGCAAAGAGTTCCACTGGACCAATAAATAATCAACACTCATGGAAGCAGCAGCCAAGAAATCAAACAATGCATTGCACTAGATAAATCTACTACATATACCTCTTAAAGTGTTCAACAGCAAAGATGTAAGTTTGAGAAATATGGTGACCCTAACCTAAATCATGGTGTTTTCAACCACCTCATATACATTTTGAAAACTGGACAATGAAATAAAGAAGAACTTAGAAGAATTGATGCATTTGAATTATGGCAATGGAGAAGAATACTGAAAGTACCACGTATAGCCAGAAGAACAAACAAATCTGTGTGGAAGAAGTATAGTCAGAATGCTCTTCAGAAGGCAGGATGGCAAGACTTTGTCTCTTATGCTTCTGTCATGTTACCAGGAGGGACTAGTCCCTCAAGAAGGATATCATGCTAGGCAAAGGGGAGAGTCAGCAAAATAGAGGAAGCTCTCCAACAAGTCAGAGTGGCACAGTGGCAGCTGCAATTAGCTCTAGTGTAGCAACAGTTGCCAATATGGCACAGGACCGGGCAGTGTTTCATTCTGTTGTGCCTGGGGTAGCTATGGGTCAAAGTTGACTGAGAACACCTAACAAGGATATACTTGTTAATTTAAACCAACAATGAAAAACTATGGAGTAAGCAAGCATTCTGAGAGAAAGGTAACTTTCTGAAACATAGCACAGAGCTAGCCTCATCTGGTCTGGGGGCATTTCAGGGGGGCTGCGGAGAGGCTGGGCTGAGAAAGAGGCTGGCATCAGGACATAAGGAGGCCTCAGGAGCCTGTCTACCTCCACAAAGGCTAGAGATCCTTCCCATGGTCAGCTATCTAATCCACCCCCAGACAACTCTGCCTGTAGAACCCAGGTTCCCTCCAGACATGGAGGTGGATAAGTGACCCCGAGTCAGGGTCCCACCAAGGCACCAGAACTCCTGGAAATGTTCCCTACCAGGTCTCAGCCCGTGCCCTCAGTATGTACTTCAGTGTTTTTCCCCAAACCTCCAGGTAAGATGTTACCAGGAAAGGGAGCCCCAATCATATAGCTGGGATGAAGATGGGGGTGGTCACGGGCATGCCCTTTGCTCTCTCTATGGACCAGGAGTCCCAGTGGGACCTGACTAGCTGCACCTGATATACCAGCCCTCTGGCTCCTTCACAGGTGGTCTGTAGCCCAAGGGTACTTCCCTCTTCCATGCTGTTAAGTCCACTGCCAGCAGGGACCAGACCCAACTTAGAGCTCCCAACACAACTTAACCAAACTTCTCCATCAGCATCTGCACAATCAGGATCCCATGATTATTCAGGGCTCCTCCATATAGGAGACAAGGTCCACCACACCAGGTCCCATGGAATGGCCCCCTCTTCTTCCCTGCTCCACTTCCCCAGCCACCTCAAACCCCTCACTTCCTAGATGCCTGGTCTGATACCACGTTATCATGCCCTCTTCTCACTCCCCTTCATTCAGACTTTGAGATAACCCATAGAACAGGTACGAAGAGGAGAAGACAGGAAAGCCTGTCCTATCCCACCTCCACCGCTCTCCATAGCAAAGTAAAGAAACAGGGGCCAGAAATGAAAACAATCCCAATAATGACCCGAAAGACAACATAAGAAACAAAGGACCCAAGCTCAAAATCATCACCTTTAAGCAAAGGCAGCAAGAATTGGTTCAAAACAAGCAAGACCTTTCCTGACATACTTCAGTTTCTTGTTTGCTTTTGCTGTTTTTAATCTATAATTCCTTTACTGCACAGTTACTCTCTCACAGGCACCCCCAACCTACCATGAGCTTTCTGTACAGCACCTGCAGTTCACCCCCTGGCTGCATTCTTCTCGGACCATACTTTTTTGGGTGGTAGGGCATGACTGTGTCCACTCTAATCTTTTGAGGCACACTCCACCCACCCTGCCCAGGTCTTGCCCCATGTGGGGGTGGATGAGTGAGTGTTACCATTTCCTGCGCCACATCCTCAGGTGTCTCCTTCTCCAGATCGAAGGTGAACTCGATGGCCCCGTTGTCCTTGGGTTTCCCTTTTAGTTTCTTGGGGTCTTCAACCCAGAGCCGAAGGGCAATGGTGGACTTCCGGCCATGGTCCTCCTCTGCCAGCTCCACTCGGACTCCCGTATCCTCCGCGAAAAAAGCATGGCTCAGAAGGTCCTTGATCTCATACCTGAGGGAAGGGCAGCAGCCTGACCAGGCAGGTAGCCGCACAGGGCACACATGCCCAGATCAGGGCCCTGTCGAGCCAGATTCTTGGGGGCCTGGTGCAACCATGGGAAAAGGCAGGGAAGAGGCCCGTGGCATGACAGGAGCTACCTGGCAATGGCCCAGTCCCGCATAGCCCCTGCCACTAGAAAGGTCTCCCTCTGCACAGCTCAACTGGTGGGTCAAGCTCTACCCCTGAGTGCAGCATGTGCATCCCTAATGCCCAGGGTCCAGCAATGTGGTCTCCTTGCATATTTTTAAATTTCCTGTTCTCCCCTCATTATAAAAATAAAATGTGCTCACTGTGTAAAATTCAATAACAATAGAGAAGACTTCTTTCATAAGTTAAGATTTCACGATGTAACTTCAAGCACCACAGATATGCTGGTGTATTTCACTTGTCAAATAAGTTTCTGGCTCTAGGATGACAATGCCCTGTCTTCTGGTCTCACCACCATGTGGCAAGAAGGGACATGGCCAGAGTGTGTGAGGTGCTCCCAAGCCCACAGAAGCAGCTATGTTTTCAGGAAGCTTTGGGTGGATCTTGCTCGCCTCCAGCCCTTCAGGAGGAGCAGTAAGTAAAATAGAGGAAAAGCACTCTTGGCCAAGGCACCAAAGTGTGAGCAGGCTTGGAAGATGGAGTGCAGTGAGCCAGGAGGTGAGCAAGGGTTACCCAAAGCTCCCACTGGGCTCTGAGCAGGGAACCACTATGAGTCTGGTGAAGTAGAGGTAAAGCATTCTTGGCCACAGGGAGCCACTAAGGGTTTGGTGAAACAGAGTAAAAGCATTCTTGTCCAAGGCCCCAAGGTGTGAACAGGCTTAGCAGCTGGAACGCAGTGAACCAGGAGAGCCAGGGGGCTGGGAGGTGAGCAAGGGCCACCCAAAGCTCCCACAAAGCTCTGAGTGGAGAATCACTAGGGTTCTGACTGCTGCATGAGAAGAAAGAGTTACTACTGTAGTCATTTACTGCCCATAATGTCCTGCCATTCAAACACCTATCCCTACACATAACTTAGCCTTCCCTTGTCTAGTTACCTATCCGTGAACTCACATAGCAGACACTGCTCTCCCACTAGTTATGTCTCTGAGTGTCACCAGACTGGTGTGTCCTCAGCTTACCCCTTTCACTGCTGAGCGGTGCTGCTTCACAGGGCATCCCACTGATGGACGCAGGGCCATGAGTGGGGCTCTGTGGGGATGTGCCTGGGAGGGGACTGGGGAAGAACAGTCTCCAGTACAAATGCCAAATGACATCAGGTGCATTTTCCAAATCGAGGACAGTGTTGCCTTTGGGGGAAGAGGGAGAGATTGTACATCCCTCAGAGGGGACTTAGAGGGCTGACAATGTGGTTTCTGGATCGGGGGATGGTTTCCCAGGGTTTGGCTCTACACTGTTATTGTTATTTTGGGCTTTTCTAATGTGAGTTATATTGTGTACTAGCCCAGTTTTTGTTTTTTTAGAAAGACCAAAATGCAGTGGGGCAGGGGAGAAGACAAAGAGGTCAGAGGCAGGGTCACTGATGTGAGAGATGACAATGGCAGCCGTGGAAACAGACAGTGGTCAGTGCTGGGGAGTGACAGCAGAAAGTGATGGAGGGCACTGAGGAAGAAGGGAGGGTACAGGAGGGGTGAGGGAGGAGAAAGAAGCAGGGATAGGCAGAGCAGGACTGAGGGAATACTCAGGAGAGGAGGAAGGCTTAGAGGGAGAGAGAGGGTAGAAGAAGGTTGATGAGAAAGAAAAAGGAGGTGGCTGGGAGGAGGTAGGGCAGGTGGCAGGCTCCTGAAGCAGTTCCAGGTCTCCGGCTAGTAACTGGGAAAGGAGGAAGGAATCATGGCCTGAGGTGTGGGACAGCAGCTTCTACGGTTCTTTTGGGGCTCTGATTGGCAATGCTGCTTTTGAGGTGGATCAAATAGGCATGCAGTTTGGGGTTCAGAAGACAGGTCAGGACTGAAGATACATCTGGGAGCGGCTGACACAAAGGTGCTATATTAATCTAAGGCTGTGAATGTGGATAAGCCAGGGGACACTGCAGGAAAAATAAAAGCAATGAGAAAAGAGTGGGTTTCCCGGGAACAAAACCAGTCAAGGTTGGGTAGGGTGAAACCTGTAAAGGGACGAAGAGGTAGATGAGTAAGGCATTCCAGATGAAAGTAGACCAGGAAGTGGAGAGGAGAAGGTGTGGGCTTCCCAACACCAACGTATCACTGGTATGTACACAGGGCCGATCTGTGTGGCAGCCCACCTGCATGCCAAGACCCTGTGTACTTCGATCTATCTTGCTGTCTTCTGAAGTGCTCTTTTTTCTGTCAAGAACACAGCTCCAAATACCAGTTGAGATATCTCTGGTATTCACAGAACCCAATTCTGGGACTCACCTTTCCTCTTTGTTTTTACAGATACACTCCCCAATAATCTCCTTGATCTCAGGATCATGTACTTTCTCAAAGCTGGCTGGCTTGATACCCTGAAACAAGATGAGGAGAATCATGTGACCAACAGTGACACCTAGAATCTGACTGCTCCAAGGCACAGTCCCCCCAAAGTTCAGGGAGTGTCCACTCCTACCAATGGTGAAACGACTGGCTGTAACTCCCATAAACTACTAGAAAATTAGACAAAACATATGAAACAGACACTCAATGGCAGGCAGTAGAGAATGGTGAGGTCAGAGAATGGACACAAAGGAGACAAACTGCCCCGGTAACTGAAGCCAGGCTGTGGGCAGGTAGGAAACACAGTTTCCCTGAGTTAGGGGCTGGAGCTCAGAGTTCAGAGAGACTCAGGAGGTAGAGTTCCTGAAAGGAGTGAGCTATGTAGGAAAAAGCTAAACTATATCTGTATATGGGTCCCTGTGAGTGTTTGCTTAGCACAAGACCACACAAGCAGAGTAAATGCCACAAAGTTGGTCAGAGAATGACTGAGGAGTGGTATGCAGAAAAATTTCCAAAATTCAGATTGATGGGGTGAGGTTTAAATGTGGAACATCTAATAAAAAAAAATACTAGGTATGCTAAGAGATAGGAAAATGTGATCCATAATCTAGCAGAAAAATCAATCAATAGAAATAGAGAAAAAATCAACAGAAATGAGACACTGGAGCTTACAGAGAGTTATTGTGTTGTTATTAAGTGCTGTCGATTCGGTTCCGAGTCACAGTGACCCTAACTATTCAAATGCTCAAAGGAAAATGAAGATACTGAGGAACAGAATGGTAGATATAAAAGAATCAAATAGAACTGGAGATAAACAACAATAACTTGAGATGAATAAAAAACAACAACACACAAAATGAAACACCCACTGGAACAGATTAACAACAGAAGACACTGAAGAAAAAGAGTGAATTTGAAGACACAGCAATAAAATCTATCTGAAATGAAGCACAGAGAGAAAAAAAGGTCATGTGGCTTTGTTCAGTTAACTTCACCCTTTGGGATAATATCAAGGAGTCAAATACATTAAATATACATATAACTAAATTCCTAAAAGGATGAGGTTGGTATAGAATAAAAAAAATGTGAAGAAAATCCAAAGACTTTCAAAGATTTTATGAAAACTGTACATATAGATCCAAGAAGTCCCACACACCCTAATCAAGATAAAGCAGTACCAGGAGTGTGAAGCTTCTCTGTAAAGCCCCCTGTAAATCTCTCCTTGTCCACTGCTTCGAGTCACCAGCCTCCCTGAAGAAATGAATTCTCTTGGCTTATCCATTGCTGTTGTTGTTAAGTGCTGTCAATTCAATTCTGACTCAATGACCATGCATAGGGTTTCTGAGGAGCAGCTGGTGGGTTTTAACCACTGGCCTTGTGGTTTGCAGTCCAGTGTTTATCCAACAGCACCACACTAGAAGTTTGTTAAAGCACAAGGGAGCACAGTCTGTACTGACTTCCCAGGGTAACCACCAAGGTCAAGTTCCTCAACTTGTGATGACAACTGGCATTTAGGCAACAACATGAGCACAGCATGAACCTTAGCTGCAGAATAGGATACTGGGTTTAACACCTCCTCAGATGAAGCACAGCATAGCCTGAACCTTGTTATTGTTGTTAAGTATCATCAAGTCAATTCTGACTCACAGTGATCCTTCATAGGGTTTCTGAGGAGCAGCTGATGGGTCTGAACCGCAAACCTTGCATTTAGCAGTGCAGCGCTTATCCTACAGTGCCACGTCAGGACTGTACAATATGACACTAGGTTGAACACCCCCACACAGCATTTTATTTCTAGAAAGAGGCTGATCAGAAGTTAGTTACAGAGCCTGCTCCGGAGTTGGGCCAGCAATGTCCACATCATGCCAAACACAGAGGTAGAGAGAGCTGTCTTCACTATGGATCTGTCAAGGGGATCTCTGAGTCAGTTTGCAGATGAGGAAACTGAGGCTCACAGAGACCCACGGCCTGGCCCAAAGCCACAGAGCATGGCAAGGGTAAGAACCCCAACTACCTGCTTCTGCCCGCCTCACACTAACAGCCATTAAAGAGAGGGACACACATGGCAGGCAGGTTTTGTGGGGATTCTATTTCATTTTTATTTAATTATCCACTGAGGGATTGTTATGAGTGAAGCCTGGAAGATGGGACATGACAGTTTGTATCATACCAGAGGCCCCACTGCCATTGCAGACCAATAACACCCACAGAGGATGCCACAATGAAGGGGACTCACTCACCTCCTCCACCTGCACAGCCCACCCCTGAGGCCCCATCACCACTATGAGCACTGGTCTAGGTACCTGACATTGAGTCTCCTACAGATCTCACAGCGACCTTACAAGAGGTGCAATTATTATCCTACCTTCTCAGATGAACTCAGAAAGGCTCAAGAACTTGGGAAGAGTGTAGCTTGGGCTCAGGAATAAAACACTGGGTTCTAATCCCAGCAGTGCCACCTACTAGCCTATGCCCTCATTAAGCTACTTTACCTCTTTGGGGCTGTTTCCCCATCTGTAAAGACAGAAAATAGGAGTGCCTCTTACAGGTTTGAGGTGAAGAATAAATGAATTTCAACCTGTATTGCCTGTGGGACCTCAGATGGGGCCAGTACACAGTAGGCACTCACTACTACTGCCCTTGGTCACACAGTCAGTCCAGGAGAAGAGGAAGAGATAGGTGCTGGTCAAGGTCATATCTGCAGTCATAATGTAAGTCCTGGGAGCACCACAGGAGTGACAGCAAGAGGACAGTGTTCTCTGACTAGCCTCAGAGTATTTCTTCCTCACTCTCTTGCTGCCATCAGTTCTGAGTGGAGCCTGAGGTCCACCTCAAGGGCTTCTCAGCCCAGGACCTCTGCATTCCCACAGAAAAGCACCCCTCTTCCCCTCCCCTGCTGGTCTCACCTAGGGACCACCCTCCCCGCCACACTCATCCAGGGGGACAATGGCACACTGGAGGGGAGAAATACACAGGACAACGAGAGCAGACAATGAGAGACCAATGTGTATAGAGAGAGGGGTTCCTTGGGCCATTGAGAAGATCTCACAAGCTGGGCCTGTGGAAGCGGTCCTATGTGCATGGAGGGAGGCGCTCCATGTGGGGGGTTGGGTACTCGAAGCTGTGGAAGGAAAGGCTCATGATGTTAGAAGGAGGAGCATCCAAGGTTGTAGAGAGTTCCTATGGTCAGGGAGAGGAGAAGTACCCATGACTGTGGCAGGGGCAAGACTTGGGTCTAGCCCTGTGCCCCTTCTCTGCACCACCATGGACTCTGGTCCCACCCTGCTACAACTGTGTGAAGGCAGAGGTGCTGACTGTACCTGCTATGGAATCCTACAGTCAACCAGAGGTCCCGAGGGCAGGGGAGTATGCTTAGGGCTGACTGAGCAGTGTGTATAGCCTAAGGATCGGGCAGCCTCCCTTCATCCTACTAGGGCAGGGCACACAGGGATGTGGAGGCACACCCAGTTGCCAGGTGTGGAATTCCAGAAGCAGAGAGTCCACAGTCTGTTAGGCTATATTTCTGGGGGAAGGGAGGCAGCAACTAATTTTTAAGTATGTTCAACACATTGTGGGCATCAACCAGGACAGTCTTCCCTTCTTCAACAAGATTCCCCCTAGAAATCTTTGCCTCAGCTTTCTTTGTGCTTGTTTGTTTAATTTAGAATTCATGAAGCATAACTTTCCCCAAAATCACAAAAAGCAAGTAAAGAGCAGAAAGGGTATCTCTTCATGCTCAGGACCAGGCAATCTAGGACCCCGGTGCCCATGAGCCTAACCTACTACATGGGGTCTGACAGGAGACTCCCTACAACTGTCCTGATGGCCCTTCTCTGTTTCCAGATAAGCACAGCCTCTCACACAATAGTTATGCATCTCTAGGAATAACCAGATTTCTTTATGCTCGTCCTTTGTTGCAAATCCAACTGCCATAGGGGCTTGGGAGAAGACAAGGCTCAGGTCAAGGGCCATTCCAGCACCAAGGACAAACAGAAACAGGGCCTCTTTGCTCCAAGGCCATCACATCCATCCTCCCACATGTGTGAATGAGGATTAATGTAAAACTCTGAAAGGCTGAGGTTCCCAAGGTGAAGAATATGTAAAGATAAAGACCATGGTGCTCTTTAAGGGGCTCCTATGTGGCACTGTAGGATAAGCAATGGGTCGCAAGGTCAGTTTGAACCACAAGATTGGTGGTTCAAATTCACCAGCTGCTCCTCAGAAACCCTATAAAGGGTTGCTATGAGTTGGAAACAACACAACGGCATTTAACAACAACAACAATATCATGCCAGGACTTCTGGTGTGGTTCTGCAGGATCAGCACTGGACTGCCAACTATAAGGGTGACAGTTCAAACCCACCAGCTGCTCCTCTGAAACCCTATACAGGGTTGCTATGAGTCAGAACTGACTTGACAACAACAACAACATATTATGCCAGCTGCTCCTTGGAAACCCCAGATAAGGTCGCTATGAGTTGGAACCAACTTGACAGCACTTACCAACAACATATTCATGCTCAGACCTGAGTTCTGGGGCCTCAGATGAGAGATACTAAGGGTTCTAGAGATGTGGGTGGATAGAGGATAGGCAGAACCTTGCTCTCTCTTTCTCTCTCTCTGTGTGTGTGTGTGTGTGTGTAGGGGGAGAAGGGTCAAAGCAGCAGGCCACATTGTCAGGATGTCCCAAGGATAAAGATACTCCTTATTGCTTGTTTCCTTGCGAGACAGGAATAGTCAAATCCTTGCTTAGCCCTAAACAGACAAGGGCCCACTTAGGAACTGGTCGCCCAATCTAGGGAGACAATGGACTGTTCAGAGAATCACCATACCTGGCACTACCCAACTGGTGTCCTCCTGAGCTCAGCAGACACCCACCGTCCATCACTCACATTTTCAAACCAGAAACCCAGGGGATGTCCAGTGCTTCTTCTCCTGCTACACCCTTACCCCAACACCCCTCAAGTCCTGGCAAATGAACCCCTCAATCTGGAGTCCCCCCTTTCTCCCATGAGCACACCATCAATGCTTCTGGCAAGGATCTTTTCTTGGAAGCTCATAGGGCTCCCTGCCTCTCTCTTCCAGCACTTCCCCAAGTAGATGGCATCCGCTCTGGGGGTCCTGACTCATGGCTACAGTGCTATAAGTTGAGAACACTGTCTTTCCCTCTCCCCGTATCCTCAGCACCAAATGTACTATTTAGCATGTAGTGAGGGCTCAAAATGAATGAACCAATGACCAGTAATGTAGAAATGAGCTATGACCTATAAGAAGGACCCAAGTGGAAGGGACAGGATGAGGGCAAAGTTGCCTCAGGATCACTATGAAACAAACTCAGTGTTGTAGTAGAGGTCAAAGCACATGGCAACTGATTGATACCATCATCGCTATATTACTCTCACAGGATTTTCACTATTAGCTCTTGCAACCTCTAGCGGTTCATGCTTGCTGAGCCTCTGTTTCTCCACTTGCAACGTGGCTGTTTTCTTCCTTGCACAGTGGCTTTTGTGCTTGTTCCTTATAAAAAGAAATAATGAGGCCAGTGTGTATCCTATTAGTAAGCTTGCCCGAGGTGGACTCACACAGGTGACCTTCCGGTAGATCTGGGCAGCATTCTGGCACTCCGAGTAGGGGTACTCTGAGGTGGCCATCTCCAGCATGCACATCCCGAAGGCATAGACATCGACAGATTCATCATAGTGCTCCTCATACATTTCGGGGGCCATGAACTCAGGGGTACCTGTGCCCAGAAAACAACAGATATAGTAGTCAGCCACCATGAGGCCCAACACCCTTCCTCAACCCTTCACATGGTCCATTAAGCTGCCTGGCTCCCAGGGCAGGTTAGCCGTCAGTGAGCAGCTACCTTGGGCTGGCCAGAGATATCAGTGAGTGAACTATCTCACACTCTACACCATCTGGTGTGTCCCAGAATCCAGGATTCAGACAAAAATGCTCTACAGACAGATGGGTCCTGAATTTGTCTGGGTTCCAAGGCTGAAAGAAGGCTAAGGGATGAGTTCATACAGCCATCTCATGTTCACAGTGCTGGGAGACTATCACTTTTCAAGAAAGTCTTTACCCAGTAACCTAGGTCTTACTGAGGGGCTACATCCCTCGTACACTTTGTCTAATCTTTCTAGACTCTGTCCCACAAATGTCCAGCACGAACCTGCACCTAAATGACTAAGACATACAAAAGCTCAGCATCTACCACCGAGCTACTCTTGCCTAGGTAAGTGAACCCTAGCTGTTACCACTAGAGACCACCGGTACAGGGCATGGGAGATAATCAGAGACTTGAAATCATGTTGACTGAACATGATTTAATGTTTTAATGACATGGAAACTTACGACAGGCTATGCAAAAAGAAAGCGTAAGATTGTATGTAGCGATGACCCCACCTACCAGGGGACTTCAAAAAGTTTGTGGACAAGCTGATATGAAGTGAGGAGAGATGCACAAGAATGCCCAAACTTGCAGATATTACCCATTTGACCTAACTTTGATGGCTTGATAATCAGAACTCTACTAAAGGAAGATAACAAATTTTTGATAAAGGAAACAAATATAAATTGCTACAATTTGAGGAACCTGACTTATAGATGTAATAGCTCAAAATACCAACTGAGAAGGAAGGAATTTTAAAATCAAAGATCAATCTTACCCCCTCTGTACACAGGATTGATAGGGATGGGCAACTTGGACAATGGCTACTTAAAAGGTGGTGGTGGTGGTGGTGGGGGAATAAAGGTAGGAAGTGACTCGTTTTCAAGAGGAAGTTTAGTATCAGAGTGTGTGGGGGAAGGTAAAGCCCCGACTAAATAGTTTTCATCTTGTCCAGATGGGTCTGGTAAAAGGGGATGGAGATAAGATACTTAGAATTCAACAGTGAGTAATTGTTATCATGACTAATCATGGCTGTCACAACTGTAAAGGTAGAAGTTTTGTAATAAAAAGTGGGGAGCAGTGATTCTTACAGTCCAGCAACAGAGGACCGTAGGACCATCAAGGGAAAAGATCACTAGAGGAAGCAGCAATATCAGAGATGGAAGCAACGATGAGGATGTGGAGAGAGGGAGCGGCTAAGGACGCTAGACTCATGGAAAGAGAAAGGCTGTGTGCTGGCGGTCAGAAGGCAGGCTTGCAGAATGTGCCCTTTGGTTGTTTAAATGATTATATATTCTGGACTGTTTTTGTGTACATTAAAAAAAACCCACAAAAAACAAAGGGAATAGAAGCAAATACTGTTGAATGATGATGCATAGAAGGGAATGCTATTATTGCAATGAAATGAAATACAATAGGATGAGTATAAAACTGATGTTCTCGTCTGTAAACTATCACTCAATGCACAATAAAAACTTGAAAAAATTAATGAATTGGGAAAAAAAGAGGAAAAAATAAGTTTGTGGACAAATTTCATTTCCCCACAAACTTTGTAAACCCCCTCCCTGCATATGTAAAACAATGTACACAGGGAAACGTGACTCTGTTTGGGAGGTAGGACTTTTAGTTACATTTGTCTGAGGTTTTTTTTGTGACTTGAGTGATAGTTTATATGGGGGAACATCAGTTCATTTCACTGCAATGATTACAATCCCCTGCATGCTTCATCATTCAACAGTATTTACTTCTATTCCCTATGGGGTTTTTTTTTGTTGTTGTTGTTGTTTTTTTATGTGCACCAAAACACTTAAGAATACACAATCATTCAAACAGCCAAAGGGCATATCCTGCCTCCGGGCACCAGCACACATCCCCTCTCCCTCCACGAGTCTACAATCCTCAGCTGCTCCATCTCTCAATCTCTGCCTCCATCTCTGGTGTTGCTGCTTCTCTGGGTAGGGTCCCATGCTCTGTTCCCACTTTTTCCCTTGATGGCCCCAGGGTCCTCTGCTCCAGAACTGTAAGATTGACTACTCACCCCTTTTTGCTACAAACTTCTACCTTTACAGTTGCAACAATTGCAATTAGTTACGATAACAATTACTGACGATTGAATCATGAGAGTCTTGTCCCCATCCTCTTAACTCAGACTTGTCTAGACAGGATGAAGACCACTCAGTGGGGATTCTACCTTCCCCCTCACACTCTGAATCTAAATGCCCTCTTGAAAACTTGTAAGCCAGTCACTTCATGCCTTTACAACCCCCTCATTTTAGGTAGCCAATGTCTAAGTTGCCCATCCCTATCAACCTTGTGTACAGAGGGGATGGGAATTATCCTTGATGCAAAGATTCTTTCCCTCTTGGTTGGTATTTTAAGATACTACATCCATAAGTATAGGTAAAGTTCATTAGATTGTAGTGATTTACACTTTTTATTCCTCTTTTCCTTCCTCTAGTCGGGTTCTGAACATCCAGCCATTGAAGCTAGGTCCAGTGAGCACAATCTGCAAGTTTGGGCACCCTTGTGCATATCCTCTCACTTCTTATCAACTGGACGCTTCACTCTCAGCTCTAGCCCTCTGTGGCCATGTTCTTGTCCATGGGCTTAGAAGTCCCCAGGTTGTCTGAGCTTTTAAAAATAAAGTTTTCCTAGAATAAGCTTTTGTTTTTATAATCATAAAAACTAGGCCCACTGAGTATCTGTTGTGCAGAATGCAAAGGAAAGGGGTGATAATCTTTTATAATGCTGTTTTTAACTTCTGTACATTTATTGACTTTGAAATATTTTAGTATTTTTTTAAAAAGCATATACAAAATATCACACACTAATTATTGCTTAAAAGCACACGTGGGGCGTCAGGAAATACCTGAAAACATTATAACGGCAATCTCTGGGATGGAGTGGGCCACAGACAATTTTAATAATTTGTTTTCATTTGCCCATAATTTCCACCTCAACATGCATTACATATTTAACAAAAAATACTAACACCTTGGTTAAAAAAAAATTGGAGAAAATGAGAATCGATACTTAGATTGGATTATAAACACAAAGAATTCTAGAAATACATCAGAAATCATGGGAATTGAGTGGAGAGAAAAGGGGACAGACTTCTTAGCTATCTAATGTTGCTGTAACAGAATACCACAAGTGGAGTTATACCAAGCAGAAATGTATTCTCTCATAGTCTGGGAGGCTTGGAGTTCAAATTCAGAGTGCTGGCTCTATGGGAAGACTTTCTCTTTGTAGACTCTGGGGAAAGGCCCTTGTCTCCTTTCAGCTCTGTAGACCCAGCATTCCTTGGAGATCTCCATATATCTTGGCATCAGTCTTCCCCTGGATCTAGTAGCTTCACAGTACCGGGACCCCAGGCCCAAAAGATATACTCCACTCCCAGCTCTTGTTTCTTGGTGGTAGTAGGTTCCGCTGAGCTATGCTAACTTCTATCTCATTTTATATCTCAAAAGAAATTGACTCAAGACACAGACTAACCCAGTAGTTTGCATCTGCCTCATTAATATCATAGAAACGAGGATTTACAACACACAGGATAATTACATCAACTCAGAGATGACCACAGCAGCTCACATCAAGGGTGACTGCATCATATTAGATCCCACCATGAAGCTACATCTTCACTACTAAACCACTGAGAATCCTGGCCCAGTCAAGTTGAAACAAAACCTTAATTATCACAGCCTCTCATTTGGCATTTTAAATTCTTTTGGGTTTTTAAACCATGTGACTGCATTGAACATTTTTTTTGGCACTGGTACTTTCTAAGCTAATATATTTTAAAGTTTCTTGCCACCTGTAAACTGGTCACAAACAGAGAATATTTTGCCCAGTTTCGAGTCTGAAGTTAAGACCCAAGCCCCCAGGTGTAACCTGAGTATACCTCACAAGCACACAACTAAAAGCTTTCCCATCAGGTGACGCTTTGATACCCCTGCCCAACCCCCTAGCCCTGAGGTCCCATTGGCATTTCCTCTCAGAGGGTACACCACCCTGCACCTGCCCTGAGCCCATTACAGTGGAGCACAACCAAGAGCCACAGAAGCAACTCAACACAGCGAGGGGAGCGAGTACGGCGCTCAGCCCCACCCCTCAAGCGCTCATACTGCCATTTGCGAGAAAATAAAGGACAGGGCTGCTTGGTGACAATGGCCTGGACACAGAGGGCTAAGGAGCCCATGCCCAGGGCCTGAGGAGAGGTTGAGGGGCTGCACTCACCCCACTTGTGGGAACAACACTGAGGCTTAGAGGAAGCCCTTTGGCAGACAGCTACACTAGAGCAGCAGGTACTCTCCCTCTTTGACCCTCAGGAAGCTGCAAATGCAGAAAACCCTGCCCTGCAATGATGATTTCTGAAAGCCTGCTGTGCTGAATGGGAAGGGGGTGTGCAGGTATGGAGACCAAGCTCAGCCAAAGTAAGATTACAGTCCCAAGCAGAGGGGTTTCCACTACCATCCATTGTGCACATGCTCTCAGGAACACACAGGCATGCCGATGCGCTCTCAGGGACACCTAGGTAAGTCCACATGCTCTCAGGGACACCTAGGTAAGTCCACATGCTCTCAGGGACACCTAGGTATGTCCACATGCTCTCAGGGACATGTAGGCACACGCACATGCTCTCAGGGACACCTAGGCACGCAACGCACTCTCAGGGATACCTAGGCACACGCACATGCTCTCAGGGACACCTAGGCACGCAACGCACTCTCAGGGATACCTAGGCACACCCATGTGCTCTCAGGAACACCTAGGTAAGTCCACATGCTCTCAGGGACACCTAGGTATGTCCACATGCTCTCAGGGACACCTAGGTACATCCACATGCAGTCAGGGACATGTAGGCACATGCACATGCTCTCAGGGACACCTAGGCACGCCAATGCACTGTCAGGGATACCTAGGCACACCCATGTGCTCTCAGGAACACCTAGATACGTCCACATGTTGTCAGGAACATGCAAGCATGCCCACACACTCTCAGGGACACCTAGGCATGCCCACATGCTTTCAGCAACATGTAGACTTACCCATTCTCAGGAACATGCCCTCAGATGCTCTCCATTTTTCCCCCTCAAACTGTAGCCATTTACATTTGAATTTTAGAAATTATATGTGTTTATGTGTGCATATGTGTGTGTTTGTGCATTGTGTGTGCATGCTCACACATGCATGTAGGTATGTCTCTATACATGAATGTGTTATAGATATTGCACACAATTGCAAATAACATGGGTGTTGGGCATGTTTAAGTACATGTACACTGTGTGTGTGTCTGTGTATCTGTGTGTGTACAGATACACAGATATATGTGCTTGGTGTCCACCCAGCAGCCATCAAATGTAATCATCACTAGATATGGGTTGCAGCCACTATCCCCACTCCATGGGTTGAACGGTTATCTGTAAGCCAGCCCAACCAAGCTTCATGATCAGCAAGCTGCTCTGGGCACTCAGAAGGTACCCAAGTGGGTGTCGGTAGACCTTGCAGACTAAGAAGTCACAATGCCTGGTCAGGGGTGCCATGGGCCAAGATCAACCTTCTTGCCACCTCCCCCATACTGCCTTCCACACAATCTTCTGGATAAGAGACATCTATGAGCTCATGGTATCCTGAAAGGTCCCTAGAGCTGGGGACATGGCATAAGCAACATTAGCAGCACCTAGGCCCCAAGCTAACCATGCCTGTATGCAAACCAATACCTCCCATTCACTCTCACAGCAGAGGTCCCACAAAAGATGGCTACCCTTGGTCAGAGCCACCAGGACCCCAGCACTGCTTTCAAGGCAGCATAAAACCCATCAGAGGCCTCTCAGAGTTTTCATGAACCCTGGGCACACACCAGCAGCCCCACTGACAAGGCACTGAAAACTGGGTCACAGCTAAACTGCCAGAGAAAAAGCTAAGGTCCTAGGCCAGAAATGAACTCATCCATGTACTGCTCTGTTCTCTTCCTCCCTGTCCCCCACTGACCACCAGGGACACACAGGGGAGGCTCCCAGAAAGAACTGGTCCATTTCATCATCAGAACAAGCACCCATCTGTATCAATGCCATTAGCAGGCCTCCCACTCGGAGGTGCTCCAGAGGATCCACACCCATACTCACAAGGACAAGACAGCTGAGGATCCTAGCCTCTCTCATTGGGGGCTTCACAGGTACACCCCAAGGGCTGACTGCCATGCTCACTGTGCACAGTCAGCCTCTGTCCCAATACACTCACAACATCCACCCCAGGCCTTCAACTCTGAATTCTGTCTCAAAGGAAGGAAGCTTAAGATCAGAAAAGGCCCAGAGGTCCCCTCGGTCAGATATCCAGACAGCTGTTAGTGGGTGTGCTTGTCTGACATAGGTGGTCCTGAATGGCACTCTTGCCATCCAACTAACCCAGTATCTAAGCCCTAACACTTTCTGAAGTCAAATTTGCAAAAGCCACCCTGTAATCACCAAGGATACAGAGCCTTAGAGTGTGTGGTCCACCAGGAGGACCCTGCTCTCAGTCAGTTACCCACCTCCCAAATTCCCATTTCACAAATGGAGAAACTAAGGCCTGGGGGTTCATAGCAGGCTCCCAGGACTCCAGAGTCTCTGGCTCCATCATTCATACCTCAAAGCCACCTTGGGAGTCCCTCCCTAACAAGTGACATCCAGATGGCCACCTGCTTTGTGTTACCAAGGCTCCTACCCGGGACTTGCTAGAGTTCCTGTGATACAGCTGTCGGCATATTCTTGGTGTTGTCTGACCCCTAGAGCACATCTCATTCTTTAAGTCTGAACCCCACACACCCTCCAAGTGTTCTCATTTTAGAATGTTCTCCTAGTTCCCCCAACCTTAGGGTGAGGGTGAACACTCAGGGAGACAAAGACATCATGTCCCCATACAGCAGCAAGGGCCCATGGTAACCTCAAAAAAAAAAAAAAAAAAAAAGGCTGTGTGGGTGGGTGGCTATCTTCTTAAAGTAGGGGCCTTTGAGCTGACTACTGAGGGATGAGAAAAATAGATGCAAAACTGTCCTTCGTATGTCTGCAGACCCTTCATCTGGACCCACCTTTTCACCCATCCACATATTCACTCTGCTCCTCATCTAGTTGCGTCTGATCTCCAAATGCCCCCCCCCCCCCAGCCCACTATGACCGTAGTGTTCTGCCTTCCAGCCTATACTACTAGCTGCCAGGGGACCAGTGAAAAGATAGCTCAGGTCAGTCCAGGCATGGTGGAGAGCCAGGAGGGAGAGCAGGCAGCAGCTATCTCCTTCAGCAGGCAGAAGGATTCCCTAAGGCTAGGCCGCAAGAGGGGTGAAAGCAGGTATAGTGCTCCTGAACTAAGACCCACTCTGACCCTCTTACAGGGTCCCTGCCTTCCCCAGGCCCAAGGCAGCAAGCAAACCCAATACCGGAATGCCTGACCCCTGCTGGTCTCTGGATTCCTGGGCCTCAGAGAAGGCACAAGCAGGCATACCTATCACGCTTTTGGCGAATGATGCTCTTTTGAGTGTGGCCAGGCCCAAGTCACCAATCTTCACAGACCCAGTTGGTCCAGTGATAAAGATATTGTCACATTTCAGATCTCGGTGGATGATGGGCGGTGTCCTCGTGTGCAAAAATAGTAGGCCTTTCAGGATCTGCCGGCACCAGCTGCGGAGAACTTTGGGCTTCATCACCTTGAATCGTTTCAGGTACCTGGAGGGGAAGGCACAGCACTGTCACCAAGCAGCAGGACAGTGTGTCCTCCACCAGACTCAATGGAAACTAGTTGGGATGGGCCTCCCTGTGTGCAGTGGGGAGGATTTGTGAATGCCACCATACAGAAGAAACGGATCACACTGTCCAGGCCAAGGGCACACACCCAGGTACTAGCTTTCCCTATTCAGGGAGGGCTACTGAACTTCACCCAGCCATAACACAGCTGTCATTAAAACAGGGTGCTGGTGTCCCAATATGTTGGTTGCAACAGGATGGCATTCTGAGGACACCTCAGTGCCTGGGGGACATTCCAGACACAGGTCCTATAGCCCAAGAGCTTAGCCCCCACACTGGGTGCCTGTATCTACTCAAAAAGAGCCCAGTCCCTGGAAGAATAATGAGGACAAGACTGGGAGGGAAGCCCCACATTGGGTTCTTATTTGTTCACCTGGGAGCTGGAGCACTTCCAACATTACCCACAGTGCACAAGCCGGGGTCCTCAGTGAAGAGTGGTGACCCCTTCCCTAGGCTGACTCCCTCCCCATGGGGCCTGACTACACATTCAGTCCAGTCCATGAGGAGGGGGGGTTTTACTCGACCATCACCCCACCCTGACAACTGTCCAGTTCTTACACCTTTGGAGTGTGCCAGCTAGGACACAGTCCAAAGCTGACCCTCAGCAGCAACAAAGCATCAGCCACAACACAACAAGCATTCAAGTTCCCATTTACATACATGCTGTCCCTCGCAGAATCAAACACATAAAACAGTACATTGGCTGTGGGGCTGTGGGAAGAAATTAGGGACTAGATTTCCTCTGTGGGTCTCTGAGAAACAGAGACAAAAGAAGCCCAAGGCTAAGAGGAAACTATCAAGGTTGGTTTGATGTGTTTCTTTTCATTTGGGGCGGTGGGGAGCCTTCCTCTGGGAGGATTCTATAACATGCCACGCTAATGTCATACAGCCACCCCCTACTCCCAGGCAAGCAAGTGGCACACTTACGTTTTCAGTGTCCCTGAGGTCATCAGCTCTGTCACCAGCACGATGCACCGCTTTCCTTTAGCACTGGACTCCCAGAAGTCGTAGAATCGCACGATGTTGGGGTGCTGCAGGCCTTTCAGCATCTCAGCCTCTTCCTTAAACCTTTGCCGCTCCAGCTTGGTAAGCTTCCGGTCCTAGTGAGAAGGCAGAGACATAGTGAGTAGGTGACACAAAGACCTTTTCCAAGAGAGGGGCAGGAGGTGGGAGGCAGGAGGTAAGGGGCTGGTGGTGTTGGTGTTCAGAGCCTGCACTAGGCCACTTTCTCAGGCATTCACACTATATACAGCACTAAGAAAGAACCAGGCCATCAAAAGTGAGCTTGTGAAGTCTGACCCAGTTCCAAAGCCTCAAAGGTAGCCTCATGTTCCCCAAGCACAGTGCACACTGAACTTTTCTGCCACTGAATTTCAGCAGAAGATTTTGGGAGAATGTTCTAAATTCAGCAGACCGTGTAACAAAATGAGACAGACCAGAGGTCTCAAATACACACATCTTGACCTTAACCCCACACAGAAGCTGCTCCATGCACAACAGAGGCTGTGTGAATACCACTCAAGGGTCTGGGACACTCAGTTCTGCAAAGTGTCATCTGATCCTGGCCTCCACCATCCAGGAGTCTGCACCAGGAACTCTGCAAGAGGAATTCCTGGGAAGCAAGGTGGCTCAGTAACTCATACTTTGAGGTTCATGTACTTTTCTAACCACCACCCATCTGTCAGTGTGTTGTACTGTAATGGCTTGCATGTTGCTATGATGCTAGAAGTAATGCGACCAGAATTTCAAATAGGAGCAAGGTCACTCATGGTGGACAGGTTTCAGTGGAGCTTCTAGACTAAGGAAAGACTAGCAAGGTGATTTACTTCCAAAATTTAGCCAATTAAAACCCTGTGGAGGCAGGGCTTGATGGCGGCCTATATAGGGTAGAGGTGCAGTGAAGTTTCTGTCAGCAATACCACAGAATATCAGATGAAGCAGGTTCAGAGCAGAGCTCCCAAACTATGAACCACATAGGTAGGAATAGTTAAAAAGTTTGAAGGCTTATAGCTAGTGGAACTTGTAGCTGAAGTAATAAGTCCCATACTTTAGAATCTGCTGGGCTCAGCGGCCCAGAGCCAGCAACATGGGTGAGATCAAACAACAGGACCAGGTGGGGAAGCAAGTAGACCCACTGGCAATTAATGACCACAGGAAACTCAGAGCAAAGGTGACAATATTATTTGTTTGGCTTTGTTCTGAATTTTTTTTTTTTTTTTGCTATCTGTTCATTGGCTGTCTGCACACCTCAGTAACTAGAGGTGGTGCCTGAGTGAGTGGATACCCCCCACGCCCCACCACTGGAGGGTTCTTCTACCACGCATGCGCACAGATCCTCTAAGTACTCAGAGGCACTAGCCTTTCTTGCTGGTTGAGTGCCTGGGAGTTGGTTCCACCTCATAGTGGCCCTGTACAGAATTTCCCAGGCTGTGAATCTTTGCGGGAGTAGGGGGCCTGGTATTTCTCCTGGAGAACAGCTGGTGATTTCAAGCTGCTGGCCATGGGTTTCAAGGCCCGATTTGTAACCACTACCCTACAAACAGGCATTTCAAAATGACCACAGCCGGCCCTGAATTGTTTGTTTATTAATAGGAAAAAGGCCAGAACAGGCTCAGGAGAGGGAGAGAGATTAAAAACAAAACAGGCCAGAAATTAAATCCTGAGGTACAGCATAACAACCAACAGTGGCATCTTGAAATTTGTCAGGTGGCCTTGAAGGCAAGAAGTTGAAAGAGGGCATTAAAGTTATACTCATATTAGGGTACAGATTTTTTTTCTTTCTGTCTTTCTTCTCCCTCTTCTCATCTTTCCTGTGATTACAGTCTACAGTATCCAAGGTTTTTTGTTTTGTTTTGTTTTATTTGTTCTTTGGGTTGTTGTTCTTTTAACCTTGCTTTTTTGTTGGTGCTGTTTTTTGGTTTGTTTTTTTTGCTTTAGTTCTGTTGTGTTTTGGTTTTGTTCTCCCTTTTACCTCTAGGGGGCTCTTTCTCTCCCTATACTACCCAAGAAGAGACAGCAATAGCTGGCATACAGTTAAGATAAAATCACATGCTATAAAGTCCCACAATCCAGGAAAGAACCAACACCAACTGCCATACACCAGGGAGGCAGACAAAACCTGCAAAAGTTATTCTGAGTTGAGCAATAAGAAGAGTGAAAAGGGAAACCCACCTCCTGATCACATCTACCTGGAGAAAATCAGAAAGCATAAAAACTACCAAAACACACAATCAATTAAGTATTAAGGACACAGCTAAACATTAAACATGTCCCCAAAGCAAAAAGAGATGACCATATCAGCACACATCCAGAAACAAGATAAAATGTCTGAGACAAATGACTAGAGGTAGACACACACTACATTCTGGAAGGTGGGCAGGCCTTGGAAATGCATAAGAAAGAATTAAGAAAAATGATTATAAAATGTTTCAAAACATTTTACAATGGAGTTGAGAAAAATAAGGAAGAAGTCAAGAAAGTACTACTGGAACAATCAAATAGAATAGATACAGCATTGGAAACAATTCAAAACCTAAGGAAGAGTTTCAAATTATTAATAACAGAATATCAGAAATAGACAATACACTGAAAGGGCACAGGAGTAGAATAGAAGACATGGAAGGCAGAGCTAGTGAACTAGAGGACAAATATCTCAACACCACTAAGATAGAGGAGCAAGCAGAAAAAAGAATAAAAAATCCAAAGAGAGTCTAAGATTCATGTTGGACAACATGAAGAAGAATAACTTAAGAATTACCAGCATTCTGGAACAGGAAGAATCACACAAGTCCACGAAGAGATAGTTGAGGAGCTTGTGGAAGAAAAATTTTCTAACATCCTGAATAGTGAAAAGATAAACATTCAAGAAGCTCAA